CTGTTGCCCAGGCTGGTCTCAAGTTTCTGGGTTCAAGCAATTGTCCTGCCTCAACCTCTCAAGGTGTTGAGATTACATGCATAAGCCACCACCCATCCAGAAAAAAAAAAATGTAATAGAAAACAAAAAGTATCAACCATAAAAGGAAAAAAAACTGATAAAGTGCACTATATTAAAAATTTTTAAATACTTCTCATAAAAAAAAAAAAAAAACTATAGGAGAATGAAAAGGCAACCCACAGAGAGGGAGAAGACTTTTGAAGTACATATATTCAAGAAAGGATAAGTATCCAGAATATATAAAGAAGTACAAATCAGTAAGAAAAAGGCCAGGAGCTGTGGCTCATGCCTATAATCCCAGCACTTTGGGAGACTGAGGCAGGAGGATCGCTTGAGGGGAGGAGTTCGAGAACAGCTTGGGCAATATAGTGAGACCCTGTCTCCACAAAAAAATTAAAAATTAGCTGGGTATCAGGCTGGATGTGGTGGCTCACACCTATAATCCTAGCACTTTGGGAGGCCAAGGTGGACAGATCACCAGAGATCACAAGTTCAAGACCAGCCTGGCCAACAGGGTGAAACCCCATCCCTACCAAAAATATAAAAATTAGCTAGGCGTGGTGGTGCATGCCTGTAATCACAGCTACTCAGGAAGCTGAGGCAGGAGAATTGCTTGAACCCAAGAGGCAGAAGTTGTAGTAAGCCGAGATCATGCCACTGCACTCTAGCCTGGGCGACAGAGCTAGACTCCATCTCAAAAAAAAAAAAAAAAAAAATTAGTTGGTATCGTAGTGTATGCCTAGAGTCCCAACTCCTCAGGAGGCTGATTTTGAAGGATCACTTGAGCCCAAGAGGTCAAGCCTGCAGAAAGCCACGAATGTGCCACTGCACTACAGCCTGGGTGACAGAGGGAGGTCCTGTCTTAAATAAATAAATGAATGAAAGAAAAAAGAAAAGCAAAACACAGGCAACCCAATATAACATGAGCCAAAATATTAAACAGACATTTTACAAAAGAGACATCTAAATGATCTATATTGCTATACAAACTGCATGCTTAAAATTTATTGGCCAGTCATGGTGGCTCACACCTGTAATCCCAGCACTTTGGAAGGTAGAGGTAGGTGGATTATTTGAGGTGAGGAGATCAAGACCAGCCTGGTCAACATGGTGAGACTCTGTCTCTACTAAAAATACAAAAATTAGCTGGTCGTGGTGGCGTGCACCTGTAATCCCAGCTACTCCAGAGGCTGAGGCAGGAGACTCACTTGAACCCGGGAGGCGGAGGTTGCAGTGAGCCGAGATCACACCACTGCACTCCAGCCTGGGGGACAGAGTGAGGCTCTGTCTCATAAATAAATAAATATGATCTGTAAACATATGAAAAGTTATTCATCTTCATTAAGCATCAAAGAAATGTAAAATAAACACGCAGTGAGATCCTACTTTACCAACCAGAATGGCAAGATGAAAAGTACAAAAAAAAATCAAATATTGACACAATACGGAGCAATTAGAACGGTCACACACAGCTGATACCAGAGTAAACTGATACATTCACCATAGAAAACTGTTTGGCAGTATCTAATTTTTTGGTTTCTGGTTTGTTTTTTTTTTTTTTGAAAAAAAAAAAGGCCTTTGGGCAGGCATGGTGATTCATGCCTGTAATGCCAGAACTTTGGGAGGCTGAGGCAGGCAAATTGCTTGAGCCCAGGAGTTCCAGACCAGCCTGGGCAACATGGCAAAACCCTATCTCTACAAAAAGTACAGAAAATTAGCTGGGCATGGTGTTGCGTGCCTGTAGTCCAAGCAACTCAGGAGGCTGAGGTGGGAGAATCACTGGTGCCTAAGAAGTCCAGTCTGCAATGAGCCATGATCATGCCACTGCACTCCAGCCTGGGTGACAGAGCAAGACTCTGTCTCAAAAATAAATAAATAAAAATAAAATAAAGGCTTTTGTAAAAAACAAGGCAATACCTTCTACTAAAGCTGAGCATAGGCATACCCTGCAATTTAACAGTTCCACTGCTAGTTATAGGCCCCAAAGAAGTTTGTCTTTGTGTTCACCAAGAGTCACATAGAAGAATGTCACAGCACTATTTGCAGTCGTCCCAAGTGGAAAGTATCTAAATTCTATCAACAGAAAAAATTTTTTTAAATGTGGTATATTCACAGTGGAATATTATATAAAGGTCAAATGCAGGGAAAAGTAATATATGGTGCTGGACTAAAAATCAGGATAATGATTATCCTTGGGGGATAGTGTCTAGAAGGAGACACAAGGGTGTCCCCCTTGTTCTAGAGTGCCAGTCATATTCTGCTTGTTGGTATGGGTAGTGTGTTCCCTTTGTGAAAATTCATCAAAAAGTACATACACCAATGATTTGTGTATTTTTCCTTTTTTTTTTTTTTTTTTTTTGTGAGATGGGGTCTTGCTCTGTTGCCCAGGCTGGAATGCAATGGTACAATCTTGGCTCACTGCAACCTCCATCTCTCAGGTTCAAGTGATTCTCCTGCCTCAGCCTCCGGAGTAGCTGGGATTACAGGCGCCTACCACCACATCCAGCTAATTTTTGTATTTTTAGTAGAGAAAAGGTTTTACCATGTTGGCCAGGCTGGTCTTGAACTCCTAACCTTAAGTGATCCACTCATCTTGGCCTCCCAAAGTGCTGGGATTACAGGTGTGAGCCACTCCACCCAGCCTGTGAATTTTTCTTACATAGGTAATACTTTAATTTAAAAATGTGTTGTTGTTTTTTAAAACTAGTCTCCTTCTCAAAAGCTGGTCTCACAGAATTGTAGGGACTAATCAGAAGTGGGTTCAGAAAAATAAGATATTACAAGGCAAAAAATATGCATAGTATTATTTTATCTTGCTAAATGTAAACAATGCTTATCTCCGGATTTTCGATGACATTTATTTTCTTTTTAGTTTATCTAGTGTTTCATTTTTCTACAATGATCACATGTTACCTGTCATAGTTATTTTTTAAAATAAAATTTGATTATGATAAGTTAGGATAAGATAATAAGGAGAGGGTTGGCACCCAAATGCTTGAGCTCACTATGTCCAAAGCAAGCCCTGGGTGTGGCTCTGTTGCTGCCCTTGCCTCTACTATATTCTTGGAAGCTGGAAATGGGTGAAGAAACGGGGGATGTGGTACACATACAGAATATAGATCAAGGTCATCTATACAGAACAAACTGGGAAGCTATAGGGAGAGTCAAAGCTTTCTTGATCCTGGCTGGAACACCTAGACCTCTCCTCAATAAGACCCACTGCTTCACTCCTAATCCACGTGTCAGTCTCCGGCACCTTGACTGACTTTTTTTTTAAGTTTCCCCTTCACTGAGTTTGCCTTTGCTAAATGAGATGTCTTCATGTACCCCAATGCTGCATTTCTCCTGTTCTGTCTATGGTGATGCTGCTTAAACTTCCCATACAGCAGCTGCTCTGCATCCTCCTAGTCTACTAGGGTGGCAGTCCCAACTGGATGATGAGCTCCTCTCTCACTCACCAGAAAACATGCTATGACATTTAATAAGGCTGATTTTCCCATCCATGACTCAGAGTAGGATAACTAGGAAATCTCTTTCAGACTTATTATGGAGGGTGAAAAATATCATTCCAAGTGGAAGATTTGAGCTGTGAATGATTTTCCTTTCTTATGGAGCTCCAGAGGAACATCCTATATGTCCCACAAATCAAAAAGAAGAAAAACTGAGCAGCTGTATTTTCTCTTTGGTACCATAAGCTTTCCTACAATGTAAGTGAGTCCAACTTGTGAAAAGAGCCATCTCCATAACTGCCCTATTAACTAGCTTATGTTTATTGAGCACTTTTTAAAATTTTTTTTGGTTTAGTTTTGTTTTTGAGACAGAGTTTCACTCTTGTCGCCCAGGCTGGAGTGCATTGGTGCGATCTTGGCTCACTGTAATCTCCACCTCTTGGGTTCAAGTGATTCTCCTGCCTCAGCCTCCAGAGTGGCTGGGGTTACAGGCACCCACCACCACAACCAGCTAATTTTTGCATTTTTAGTAGAGACAGGGTTTCACCATGTTGGTCAGGCTGGTCTTTAATTCCTGATCTCAGGTGATCTACCTGCCTCAGCCTCCCAAAGTGCTGGGATTACAGGCATGAGCCTCCATGCCTGACTGAGCACTTATGTTTTAACACACCTAATCTTCAGGGTCTAGTCCTCCCCTAGACCCTGTAAAATAGGTTCTACTCATTCATTCAACAAGTATATATTATATTGTTATTATGTGTCAAGAACTATACTAAGTGCTGGAGATGTGAGAGTTAACAGAAAACAGTGTTCCTGCCTTCATGGAGCTTACAGCCTGGTGAGAAGATAAATACAAAACAATCACAAAACTAAAATTCTGTCATGTACTAAGATGGAGAGGCATCTGGTGCTGAGAATGGACAGTCAAGCAAAACTGTGGAAATAAGATTTGAAGTAAGCTCTAAGAAATACGTAGAAGTTAAATAGACAGCTAAAGAGCAGGCAAAGGAAACAGCTTGTGCCAAGGCCCTGGGGCTGGAGAGAGGTCTAAGTATATGCAAATCAAAGATCAGTGTGGTAGCGGTCAGGCAGGAAGGTGGTATCTATCCCAGGTCTGCCTGATACCCGATACTCCAGATCCAGAGTTCCTAACCATTTTAACCTCTCCTGTAGAGGTCTAACCCCAGTAACAGAAGCTGAAAGTCCACAGCTGACGTGCAGTGAGGAGAACGTTTTAAAGACATAGGTAGGAGTGCTGCGTGCGATTTTCCTAAGTAAGCCTTCCAGGAAACGAATGCAACCTTGAAGACTGCGGGCACTGGCAGACAGGAGCTAAAGACCTCCAGTAGATCCTTAACACGAAACGCAGGGTTGACGCAGAAGCCTCTCTTATCCCAAAGCGAGCAGGTGAGATAAATGACGTGACAGGAGTAAGCGAACTACAATCCAGTACGCCACACTTCCTGCCCCACCACTGCGGCTGCGCGCGCTACGTTCCGGAAGCGGAAGTAGACAAGAGGTCAGGGTTGATTTTTCAAGATGGCGGCCTTTAAGGTCCTGTTGTCCGGCAGTGAGCGGCTTCTCCGTGGGCTCCTAGCGGGGCCGGCAGCTACTAGCTGGTCTCGGCTTCCAGCTCGCGGGTTCAGGGAAGGTGAGTCATGCGTTCCAGCAATCTCCTGAAATTGAGAAGAGCGGCGGAGATTGCTTCCGCCTGCCCTGGTGCGCCACTTCCTCTCTTTCCTTCGTGCGATTCTGAAACTTTGGAGGTACTGGCTTTCCAGGGGTGCTTAAAAGCCTCTTCCAGACCCTGGTGCCTTTTCTTGATCTCCTACCCCTTGTGAGTATCCTCACGAGGCCTAGGAGGACGGAGAGAAAGGCCTGCTTAGTAGGAGCAGAAAAGAAACCTGTCCCAGGATTCAGAAAAGTTTTTGGGAAGGGTTTGCATGTTAATTCTCCCTTCCATATTCTCCGAATCTCAGTCACTTTTATTACAGTCTCTTTTATTAAAGAGTCTCTGAATCACAAAGGAAGGCCATTTGAGTACCCTCCCAGAGCCTCCCTTTCCACTTCTCAAAATGCTGTGATCTGATGGCTGCTTTTTCTGCCCGGACCGCTAGCCGCCCTGAGAGGGGTAGGTCAAAGTGGAAAGGCCATTGAATGGCTGAGACGAAGGCAATGCAGGAGGGTAGTTTAGCTTTTCATTAATCTTAATCTGGAAAAGCGGCCTGATTCGAGCATCAACTGAGAGCTTACGGAAGACCAAGTGCTATGCTTCAAGCTGTGAAGGAATTCTGGAGACAGAAAATACAGCCCTTTTCTTGAAGAGCTTAGGTTCTAATGAGATTATATATATATATATATACATACTCCAATAAATGCAATTTAGTCTTTTACGTGACGAAGTACAGGGAGACTCAGTTGCTGGAAACAGCAAACCCAGTTGGAAGTTTTCATAAAGAGGATGTGTCTTAGCAGGCTCACAAAAGGATGGAATTTGGCGGAGAGTGAAAAGGTCTTTTAGGATATAGCCTTCCTTTGTGTACTAGGAAACAAGAAAGGATGAGTGATGTGCAAAAGAAGAGATGTGGGGTTTTCTGAGGATCTGGCATAGTATTGCGCAGCATATCCTTTAACGAAAGCTGAGAAGTAGCCAGTGGAAAAGAGTGATCATTGTTGTCAGAGGGAGCAGAAACGTCTAAAAAGAAGAGCCTAATGAAGGGGTCATTGGATTTGTCTCAGAAGAGGTCTCTCTTTGTAGCTTTCAAATAGCAGTTTCAATAGAATGGCAAACAAGGCATCCAGTTTGGAGAAATGAAAGAGATAGTTGATGAAGAAATAGAAATAGCAGGTATGTTTGAAGAATTTAGCCAGTAAGGGAAGTGGAGCATTTGTTTGAAAAAAAAGGAAAGTCTGGATATTCCATGGTTAACTTTTTATTAGTGGATTTACTAATGGATGACACTAAAGGGATCATGCAGATGATAGAAACGATTTGGATGGTTCATCTGTTCCCATGCTGCAAAATAGGCATATGCCCATAACCATTTTTGAGAGTGTCTACCAAGTGTCAGACACTGTTGGCTACAATTTGCATATTCTTTATGAAATTCAAAGTTGAGGCAGATTTTGCTATGCTTCTAGAAAAAAAGGCAAGAGGAATCGTTTTGTTTGTTTTAACAACTAATATTTGAAGTTAGACTTAAAGAATTTTTCCAGTTGGAAAGTTTGTGAAATGTAAGCCAGGTACAGTGGTACATATCTTTAATCCCAGCACTTTGGGAGGCCCAGGTAGGAGTATCACTTGGGCTCAGAAATTGGAGTGTAACCTGGGCAACATAGTGAGAACCCCCACCTCTTAAAAAAAAGGGAAAAAATGATGGACTGTAAATCAAATGGGTCTCTGAAATCCTTCATCTAAATGTTAGGTTGAATTAATGTGATTCTAGGCCGGGCGCGGTGGCTCATGCCTGGAATCCTAGCACTTTGGGAGGCCAAGGTGGGTGGATCACCTGAGGTCAGGGGTTCAAGACCAGCCTGGCCATCATGGTGAAAGCCCATCTTTAAAAAAATAAATGAAGGCTGGGCGCGGTGGCTCAAGCCTGTAATCCCAGCACTTTGGGAGGCCGAGGCGGGTGGATCACGAGGTCAAGAGATCGAGACCATCCTGGTCAATACGGTGAAACCCCGTCTCTACTAAAAATACAAAAAAATTAGCTGGGCATGGTGGCACGTGCCTGTAATCCCAGCTACTCAGGAGGCTGAGGCAGGAGAATTGCCTGAACCCAGGAGGCGGAGGTTGCAGTGAGCCGAGGTTGCGCCATTGCACTCCAGCCTGGGTAACAAGAGCGAAACTCCGTCCCCCAAAAAAAAATAATAATAAATAAATAAATGAATAAATAAAATAAATTTTTAAAAAATGTGATTCTACGTGAAGGCACTACCATATTCTCTATTCTTGAGAATCACCTGTCTTCAAAACTTTTAAATGAAACATTTTCTTTTGTTATTCTATTCATTATAAGTTATGGGAAAGAAGATGGGTCTCTTGCTGAAAATATTCAAACATCTTGCTTTTCAAAGTGTCAGATAATAATAATTTTAGTCAGCTCATGAAGACCAATTTTCCTGTCTATGAAGACTTTCAGTCAAAACAGTGATTTTCAACTGGGAGGCAATTTTGTCCCCCAGGAACATTTGGCAGCGTCTGCAGACATTTTTGCCTGTCACAACTGGTACTACTAGCATGGGGGGGTAGAGGCGAGGGATGCTGCTAAACATAATGCCCAGGTCAGTTCCCCACAACGAAGTTCTGGCCCAAAATGGCAGTCCTGCTGCTGTTGAGAAAGCCTGGTTTAAAGTTTGACCAGAGAGACACTCAAAGCCAAAAAAAGATTATTATGGAAAAAGTAAGATGGAAAGAGGAGGACGAAAATAGAAATTGTGATTTACTGTGCCTGCTTCAAGTACTGTGCTAGGTTTTCCATATACATTTATTCAGTCTTCTCAAAAACACCTTAAAGGTGGATATTAACTGTCCTCATTTTTATAAATGAGGAAATGCAGTCCCAAAGGATTTAATAGCTTGCCCAACATCACATGGCTAATAAGTGATGGAGTTGGAAGTAGAGCCAGCCCTCTTCCCTCTGCACAAGTAACATCACCTTGGTATTTCATGGCAGGGTCTCCCTTATTGTTCCCGCCTTCCCCAAAAGCTCTTAGCAGGTAACTTGCCAAAGACCATTTAGTGCCTTTATGATTGGCACTGCCAGATTTAGCAAAGGTTGTGTTAGATCTCATTCCTCCCTTATCCCTCTTAAAGCCCTTGTGAAGGAAACGGATTTAAAATAAAAAAAAAATTTATATAAATTAAGCCATGATCTATCAGACACTTAGAGAAAGATATACTGAAGTGAGTAAAAGCCAAAGGGAATTTGCTTCATTTCTTTCAGTTGGTTAAGAAGACCTTCTGGAAGACCTAACATTTCAGACAAGGATATGCCTCACAGGTTGGGCAGTCCCATATAAAAGCTTTGAGAGAGGAGTGAGTTGGATTCTTTAAAGAATTCAGGGACCAGCTAGGCACAGTGGCACATGCCTGTAATCCCAGCACTTTGGGAGGCTGAGGTGGGTGGATCACGGGGTCAGGAGTACAAAACCAGCCTAAGCAACATGGTGAAGCCCCGTCTCTATGAAAAATAAAAAATTACCCAGGTGTGGTAGCACGCACCTGTAATCCCAGCTCCTCTGGAGGCTGAGGCAGGAGAATCACTTGAACCCAGGAGGCGGAGATTGCAGTGAGCTGAGATCATGCCACTGCACTCCAGCCTGCACGACAGAGCAAGACTCTGTCTCAAAAAAAAAAAAAAAAAAAATTCAGGAGACATAGTCCAGAGTAACCAGCTGGTGGGAAGAAAGTTTTGTGCAGCAATAAGACTCCTTATTCTGAAGCATAGGGCAGAGGGAAGTTCCCTCAGGGGTCCAGGGGAAAGGAAGGGGCAGGTGGTGAGGGAATCAGAAACTTTTTTTTTTTTTTCTTTTTTGAGTTGGAGTCTTTCTCTGTCACCCAGGCTGGAGTGCAGTGGCACAATCTCAACTCACTGCAACCTCCACCTCCTGGGTTCAAGTGATTCTTTCACCTCAGCCTGCCGAGTAGTTGGGACTACAGGCATGTGCCATCACACCTAACTGATCTTTTTGTATTATTAGTAGAGAAGGGGTTTTACCATACTGACCAGGCTGGTCTCGAACTCCTGACCTCGTGATCCGCCTACCTCAGCCTCCCAAAATGCTGGGATTACAGGCATGAGCCACCACACCCAGCTGGGAACCAGAAACTTTAATGATAGAATTAAAGATGAACTGGAGGAAGCAGGGCTTGAGGCAGGAAGGTGTTTGCGAAAAGTGGTCAGTGGCTGGTGGCCAGAAATACAGGCACACATCCCAAAGGTGGCACTCCTCTCCCTGACCCTACGTAAGACTACAAGGGCCACTGCCCAGCCATCAGTTGCTCTAGTCTTTCTTACTCTGCTTGGGCCTTAGTTTCCACAGATCCTCTCTAAGAGAGACCTTGATCTCTGGTCACTGACCCAGCAGTGCCCTGCACTCCTCATCTTTTTTCACTTCCTCTTTTACTAAGCAGTTGGGGCTTTACACAGCTGCAGTTCACTGTGTCTGTTCATGTGGCTGTCAAGGTTTTTTTGCATTTTCCGTGTTGTCCTGGTGTGTTCAGGCTGGCCTCTAACTCCTTAGCTCAGGTGATCCTCCTGAGTAGCTGAGACTATAGGTGTCACCCCTCTCCTCCTTTTGCATTTACTTCAGTCTCACCACAATGCCATTCATTCCAAACTATTACAATTCAGTTATCTTGGACGCCATCCTAGGCAAGTATTTACTGAAGCACTCAAAGAACCTCTTTACGAGGCCTGGACTTTATTATAATCAAGTTCCCATACAGAGTTTAGTTCTTTTCTTCCTCTAAGGCAAAGACTGGCCCCTATTCTACGGTAACTCTCCGCAATAGGTAGAGCGAAGCTGTACAATCCACAGGTACTCAGCAAATGTGTTGCCTCATTTTGGACAGATTATTTCATGTGTATGAGAAGTGTTTATCTGTAAAGATTTTGGCCCTTAATTCTAGTTTAGAAAACTGCTTCATCTCTTTCCTTAGTTTACTTGATAGTGCCATATCTCAGAACACAAGGGTGATTCCATCTTTTTCTATACAAGTTTTCTGTTAGTGCCTAAATCTCTCAGTCCAGCTTTTCTTAGCTACTCCCACTTCTCTTGAATAGAGAGGGGCCAGGGACAAAATGGATCTCAGGTTTTGTTTGGTTTTGACACGTTTTTGTATGCACGCTGAAAATCAATACTATTTTGATTCCTATCTCCTCTTTCCAGAGGCTTAAAATCTACTAAGAGCCCCTCCAGGCTCCAACTGAGCCTTCTCCCCCTGCACTAAGACACCACCCTGATCAATGTCAGTTCCCTGTAAATTCTCAGGTCATTCCTTCTGGTTTGACAAATTGTCTCTGTTAGATAAGCATCTGCCTATTGTTTTACCCACTGGCTTCTGGGTAAAACAATAAGATGTAAGATGATTCACTGGCTCAGAGTTGCTGTGTGGAGGGGGAGCTTTTGAACAGTGGAGCTTGCCATGGGCTTTGATCTCTTTTCCAGGGGCCAGTAGGATGACTTCAGGGTTTGGTTCTTTGCCGGGAGTGATGTGTTTTGTTAGACTTGTTTACCTCATGGTTAGGACCCAAGTGCCTCCACCAAGAAGGGAACCACATGTTTATCCACTGCGTGTTTCAGGGCATTGTTCTTCTGCTGATTCCAGTGGTACCAGCATGTGTCTCTCCTTTTGTTTCCTATGGGGATTCTTAGAAACTTTTCCCCTGCTTGTTCTTGTGCAGATTAGGTTGTCTCTCAACTTGGTTTTTGCAAATTTGCAAAGTTTCAGGGTGCCTGGAACCCTTACTAAGCTGGGGATGTGCCTTCCTCATACCTCCCTTCATTTCTCCCCATCCTCCATTTGTAGATTGATTCTGCAGATTGACGTATTGCAGTGACCTTCTCCCTGCAGCTGTGCTGGCTACCAGACTGAGGACCACATTGCGTCTCACCCAAGTCCCATTTTGGGTTGGTCTCTGTTCTGTACAAGTAGATTCTTGTGTGGGGTGACGCATTTTCTTTTACATGGAGAAACCTAGGTTGTCTTTGAATTGATTAGTAACTATAGTGTTCTCTGGAGAAAGCCTCGGGGCTTTTCTAGCCATTGTAACTCCTTTGTATGTCTGGAGTTGGACACTGAGGGGCTCTCAGGATTGTTTTGGAGCAGTGAGTCTTTATGAATGGCTTGCCAAATGGGGGACAATTCTGGGCAATCTGTGTCCAATTAGGTCTTGGTCACAGAGCTCCGTGATCACAGATGCTGCCATGGGCCTCTGGTTGGGTTAGAATTGCCATTTTTCCTTAGACAGGCCCTTCTCTTTTTATTGTTCTTTGTTTGTTTGGTTGGTTTTGTTGTTGTTGTTTGTTTTTTGAGGCAGGGTCTCTGTCTGTCGCCCAGGCTGGAGTGTAGTGGTGTGATCTTGGCTCACTACAGCCTCCACCTCCCAGGTTCAAGCGATTCTCATGCCTCAGCCTCTCGAGTAGCTGGGACTACAGGCATGTGCCACCACGCCCAGCTAAGTTTTGTATTTTTAGGAGATACGGGGTTTCACCACCTGAGGTTTGCCCAAGCTGGTCTTAAACTCCTGACCTCAAGTGATCTGCCCACCTTGGCCTCCCAAAGTGCTAGGATTACAGGTACGAGCCACCATGCCTGGCCTTTTGCTGTTTTTAATTGCAAATGCAGGACATGTTTATTTTAGTAACTAGAAAATACAGAGGCAAAAAGAAGAAACTAAAAGCACCTAGTGCTACCCCTGAGAGGGAACCAGCATTACTGTTAGGTATCTAGCTCTAGAAGGCTGTGAGCCTCCTGAAATCCATGCCTAATTGCATGTGTCTTGTTTTCCTAGGGAGAAGTTTATAGCTCTCACTGAATTCTCAAAGTTAAGAGCCTTAGACTCTTTCTAATCTGTATTGTACTACTTCTTGCCTGGGCCAGAGCTGAGTTGAAACTAAATCGCCATAGCCAAACTGCTGTTAAAATGTGGGTTTAATGTCTTGAAAGACGGTTTGCATCCTAGCTATATGGGCTTAAGTTTCCAATTACAGTAATTAGCAGTCAAAAGGAGACCATGACGAATATTTTGCTACCCTTAGCATTTACTAAGCATTTGATATTTACCAGTTTGTGTGTTAACAGCTGTGACTTCCCTCTTTTTGAGGCAGTCTTGCTCTGTCGCTCAGGCTGGAATGCAGTGGCTCCATCATGGCTGCTGCAGCCTTAACCTCCTGGGCTCAAGCGATCCTCCCACCTCACCCTCCCAAGTAGCTGGGACTACAAGTGCATGCCACCATGCCTGGCTAATCTTAGTTTATTTTTGCAGGATTTTGCCACGTTTCGCAGGCTAGTCTCTAACTCCTGAGCTCCGGTATTTCCTCCTACCTTGGCCTCCCAAAGTGCTGGGATTATAAGCCATGAGCCACTGTATCTGGTCTGGCTTCTGTCTTTCTAAAGAAACTGTCAGCTGGGTGCAGTGGCTCATGCCTGTAATCCCAGCACTTTGGGAGGCTGAGGGAGGAGGATCACCTGAGGTCAGGAATTCAAGACCAGCCTGGCCAACATGGTAAAACTCCATCTACAAAAATACAAAAAAATTAGCTGACATGATAGCAGGTGCCTGTAATCCCATCTGCTTGAGAGGCTGAAGCAGGAGAATTGGCTTGAACCTGGGAGGCGGAGGTTGCAGTGAGCCAAGATTGCGCCATTGTACCACTCTAGTCTGGGCCACAGAGCGAGACTCTGTCTCAAAAAAAAAAAAAAAAAAAAAAAACTGTGTCAACAAGGGAGTATCTCTAAGAACTATTTGATTATATTTGCTGAATGTGGGCTATCAGCTTGGATCTTCCTTGGGTGATTGTTGAGGTTGTCATTCTGCATCTTGGTTAGGTAAGATAGGAAATGTGGGGCCTGGCATGGTGGCTTATGCCTGTAATCCCGGCACTTTGGGAGGCCAAGGCGGGTGGATCACATCAGGTTAGGAGTTCGAGACCAGCCTGGCCAATATGGCGAAACCCTGTGTCTACTAAAAATACAAAAATTAGCCAGGCATGTTGGCACATGCCTGTAATTCCAGCTACTAGTGGGGCTGAGGCAGGAGGATCACTTGAACCTGGGAGGCGGAGGTTGCAGTGAGCTGAGATCGTGCCACTGGACTCCAGCCTGAGCAACAGAATGAGACTCTGTCTAAAAAAAAAAAAAAAAAAAAAAGGCAAAGCACTGAGGGTGTCCCTCTCCGTTTGTAGTGACAATACTCTCCTTGAAATTCTTCCTGGACCCAGTATCTTCAGGCTCCTTATTCCTACCTCATACATCAACCTTCTCCGGTATATATAATAACATGCAACCCTTCAGGGAGAAAAGGAGATGATTTAACTCAAGATTCCGAAGATGTGTTCTAGGAGTGAACTTATCTTTTTGTTCATTCACTAGGGGACACTGGAATAGTGTTAGTTCAGTGCTATGTCTTACCTTGTAAACTCTTCAAAGCAAAAACCATTCTTTCTTTTTTTTTTTTTTTTTAATTTATTTAAACCTTAACCCATACACTGAAGAAACCATTCTTATCTGATTCTCTTTGTGCAGGAACACAGGCCGCCTGGGTACTTTTGAAGGTCTTTTAGATACCACTGCCCCACCCTCTTTTACTGCTATCCACTATAGGACAGGATCTGACCAATTCCTTTGGATAGAACCAAGATAAATCTTTGCATAGAAAGGCAAAAACACTGTGGAACTCCTTAATCCCACACCAGAGAGGTGATGCTACCTAGGCATCCTGGGCTTGCCCCCGCCCCCCTCAAGGGCGTAGAGAGCCTTGGCACTAGTGGGGTGAATCCTGCGCGCCTTCTGCTCCAGGTGGAGACCATGGGAGAGTACAGATGGAAGGCTGCTTTTTTCCAAATGTGTAGAATTTGAGCTGTTATTTGAAACTCTCTGTTCCTTATTAAAAGGCTGACCTAATTTTTCCCCTTTATCTCTGTAGTGGTGGAGATCCAAGAAGGGAAGACAACTATAGTAAGTATCATTGAGTTGGCCGTGTATAACCTCTTTAACACTTGGAGCTGCCTGGCTGCTCCTCTGAGGGATAGAGGGGGCCCAAACTGGACTCCCGGCTCCAGGATCAGCTCCCTCAGTGACCATAAATCCCAGTCTTACTGTTTGTCAAGCTGTGTGCTATAGTGTGGTTAATCAGAAACAGTTGTTGTGCCTGGGCTGAGGTATCGCTATTTCATTAAAGTGGCCTTTTGTATAGCAAGGTCTCAGAGGCCTTTGCTGATAAGCTCTTTGGTGGGTAATGAATCAGTTTCCCAAAGGGGAAACTAAGGCGTTGTTGTACGCCTAGAGAGCCAGAGTAAGTTGACCCAGGGCCAAGAGCCTGGACCTCAGTTCCTTTCTTTTCTGCCTAGAATGACTAAACTACTCTTTATATGATGCATTTTAAAAGTGACATTCTCCATGCCCTGGCCTCACTAACTGGCGCCCTGGCTTGTCTGTTGGTAAGAAAGTTGGAACAGGCTGGGCGCGGTGGCTCACGCCTGTAATCCCAGCACTTTGGAAGGCCGAGGCGGGTGGATCACGAGGTCAAGAGATCGAGACCATCCTGGTCAACATGGTGAAACCCCATCTCTACTAAAAATACAAAAATTCAGCTGGGCATGGTGGCGTGTGCCTGTAATCCCAGCTACTCAGGAGGCTGAGGCAGGAGAATTGCCTGAACCCAGGAGGCGGAGGTTGCGGTGAGCCGAGATGGCGCCATTGCACTCCAGCCTGGGTAACAAGAGCGAAACTCCGTCTCAAAAAAATAAAAAAAAAGAAAGTTGGAACAATTCTTCATCTACCCACTTCCCCCTTTCCCTCACTGGGCCCATCCCACCTCCCTTCCTTGGGGAGTCATGGGTCCTAGATTATCCTATAATCCTTAAATGACAACGTTGTTTTCACATGGCCTTCTATGCCTCCAAGAAATCCTCAGCCACTCCGTAGAGCTCCCAGAAACCTCTGTAACTTCCATGTCAACCAGAGATTTAACCCTTTAGGTAGCCAGCCAAGCTCAGTCTTCCCCAAGGCAGTCTTATTCCTAGGACAAGTCCATTGGGTCTCCTCCTAGAATGCTTCCTCTGCCTTTCCACTGCTTAGCCTCAAAACAGTTCTTTTTAGGGGACCCCCCCCAGTCCCCTTAGGGTACCGTTTAGGCTTCTTGATTCAAAGCCAAAACAAGCATTCATTCCATAAACTCCATGCTAGAGTAGAGAAATCTGACTTTTGAGTATAAAGAGCATTTTCATGTGGGGCATGAGTCTGCTGTTTGTAGAATGGACGTGGAGGCATTGTGGTCTACGAGAGCCCTCAGGGGAGGGAAAAGCCCATCCATGCTTTTAGCAGCACTGCCATGGCTGACGTTGGGTATTATTCTCTCCCCTATGAAATAAGAACGGACACCTACCTCACCGAGGTTAAGTGAACTAATATATGTGAATCATTCTTAGCACTGAGCCACACATATAATGGGGAGTCAATAAATGTTAGCTCTCCCCACCCCCACCCCTGACCCACCGCAACCCACCTCCCAAGGCCTACCATGTACGTGCGGATTTTCTCTAACATCTCGGTTTCTGGCATAGTTGTAATTACCATGGGAGAAGGAGGGTAGCAGTGCCCTGCACAGCCAAGTAGTACTTCCAGCCCCTTTCCCTTGTGCCAGTTCTCCCCCAAGAGACGGTGTTGCTTCCCTTCCAAAACCTCTCAGACCTGTCCCAGCCTCACTCTCATAATCCACCGTCTCAGTCAGGAAGGCTTTCTAAACTTCGCTCTTGCAGTTGGAGCTGATTCCCAGATTGTTGGTTTATTGCACTTAGCAATTCCAAGGCTGTTCCACAGGACACAGCAGTGACAGGGAGGTCATTTCACACTTGGCCTTAGCAGGATTTAAAAGGTGGCATCCAAATGATAAAAGCAAGGAGCGTGACAGGGAAATGTATCCTCCCATCTGTTTCGTGTTATTTCTTTCTTTCTTTCTTTCTTTTGTAAAGAGAGAAGAAGGAGTGCACACATACCTGCTTATATGGCACAGCCTGGGGTTTTTCAGCCTTGCTATTCCTGGCATTTGGGGCTGGGTACTTCTTTGTTGTGAGGGCTGTCCTGTGCAGTGTAGGATGGGGAGAACATCCCTGCTAGATGCCAATAGCACTCCCTCCCTGAGTGGTGACAATCAAAAATGTCTCCAGACATTGCCAGATATCCCCTGGGGAGCAAAATCGCCTCTGGTTGAGACCCACTGGCATAGCCTTAACTCTGTAAGATAAAGCTGGGAAGTGCAGTTTCCCCCTAGGAGGATATGTGGGATTGGAGGGAGGCTTTCTTTGGATTCTGTATCCCTGTGCTATGTGAAACATTTTACCATGTGCGTGTATTACTTTCCCCAAAAACCCAGGGACTGGAAAAAGTATAGTGTTCCGGTGCCTTTGTTTTTTCTTTTGAGGAAGGAAAGGTAGCATTCAATTGATACAGCAAACCCCTCTCTCCCTCTTGCCACTGGTATCAAGTTTAGGTGGTTTCTGTTACCCCTGTAAGCCACCAAACCACATCCCTGTGGCTATCTCAAGGCCTAGCATACAGCAACTGCAAAATAAACACCACAGCTCAGGCAGAAAAACCTCTTAGCTTCTCCCACAAGAACCACCAAGATAAACTTTTACCAGCATTCCCATCATTTTGGGGTTTGCACAAAGATAACGTGGCTCTGTGCAGGCCCTGTGTCTCACACTGGCTCTCTTTCTCTGTCTCCTAGATTGAAGGCCGTATCACAGCAACTCCCAAGGAGACTCCAAATCCTCCTAACCCCTCTGGCCAGTGCCCCATCTGCCGTTGGAACCTGAAGCACAAGTATAACTATGACGTGAGTCTGGTTACAGAGACTCAGCTCTGTGTGGCATGAAGCTCTCAGATTCCCTGGTTAGCTGGAGCAGCGTCCCCCCGCGCTTCATTTCATGGAACCACCAGAGATGGGAGCCCTTTGTCCAGTTGCTTTCAACTCTGGCTGCACATTAGGATCACCTGGGGAGCTTTAAAAAATAATGATGTGGCCAGGCACGGTGGCTCACGCCTGTAACCCCAGCACTTTAGGAGGTCAAGGCGGGTCGATCATGAGGTCGAGATCAAGACCATTCTGGTCAACATGGTGAAACCCTGTCTCTACTAAAAATGCAAAAATTAGCTGGGCATGGTGGCGCGCGCCTGTAGTCCCAGCTACTCAAGGGGCTGAGACAGGAGAATTGCTTTAACCTGGGAGGCAGAGGTTACAGTGAGCCGAGATCGAGCCACTACACTCCAGCCTGACACCTGGCAACAGATCGAGACTCTGTATCAAAAACAAAACAAAAAAAAAAAAAACAGTAATGATGCATGAGCTCCACCCCAAACCAGCTGAATCAGCCTCAGGGGGTGGGGCCTGAGCATGTTTTAAGCGCTGTCCCCTGGCTCTAATGTGCAGTCAGGGTTGAGAGCCACTGATTGAGTTTATGGTCTGGTTGTGCCTCAGATCACTAGGGCCCTTAACTCAGCTCACAGGGGTTGTACTCTTGTGGGATGCAATCATGATCTGGGTTTGGCTTTTCTCTTGTATGATGAGGGTGTATTTGAATAGGCTCCTTGTTCTCACTGTGATCTGGGCATACATTACCCTGTTGTTCTGTGTTGGAGCTATAAAGATAGCTGATTGCTTGAGCTCTTCTAGCGCAGTCGTTTCCAGGGAAAGAAGACAGTAGTGAATAATAACAACTAGGCCAGGCGCAGTGGCTCATGCCTGTAATCCCAGCACTTTGGGAGGCCAAGGTGGGCGGATCACAAGGTCAAGCGATTGAGACCATCCTGGCCAACATGGTGAAACCCTGTTTCTACTAAAATTACAAAAATTAGCCAGGTGTGGTGGCACATGCCTGTAGTCCCCGCTACTCGGGAAGCTGAGGCAGGAGAATCGCTTGAACCCAGGAGACAGAGGTTGCAGTGAGCCAAGATCGTGCCACTGCACTCCAGCCTGGTGACACTGTCAAAAAACATTAATAACAGCTAACATTGAGTGCCTACTCTGTCAGGCACTGAGTACTTTCCTGCTTTAATTCACTTAGTTTTCACAATAACCTTATGAAGTAGGTACTAGTTTCATCCTCATTTTACAGATGAAGAAGTTGGAGGCATGGAGAAGTTAGTGAAGTTGCCTCAGATCCCCCACCTAGTATCAGAGCTGGGATACAAACTCCAGGGATGAAAGCCCAGGCAGAGCTCATGCCCCTAATGACTACACTACCTCCTCCCCAGAGATGGGGAGGGCCTGGGGCTAAGGACACAGCGCTGGAGAAATCCTTACGTGTTCTTCAGAGCTCTCACTTGTGACATGAAGCACCCTATTCTTGGGTTTCAGGTGATTCAGGCATTGGGCCAGTTTGACCTGCAGGTTGTCCCTGTGCCCCTTTGTGGAATAGGATGACTAAGGGCAGAGATCCTGGTTAGGTGATAAGAGCAGGAGAAGCCACATGCCCATGGGATCTGAACAGAGTGACCCAACTAATCTCCTGGGCTGGAAGCCTTGGCTTGAGGCCACCCTGAGGGGTTGGGGGGGGTTCCTTCTGTCCTGAGGCCCTTCTGCTGGCCGCTTAGAGTAACAGAAAGCAAGCACACAGGCAAGAGGCAGTGTTCCCAGCTGCTGGCGTGCGGAAATTAGTGGGGTTGTGGGCATCCTTGGAGCCTCAGCTGCTGATAGGAAAGTAAACCCCACACCTGCCCAACCACCATGGGGCACTCTTCCTCCCAGCCTTTTCTAGGAAACGTACTTGGCTCTCTCCAGCAGAAGAAATCTAATCCTGTCTGAGGTAAAGGCTAAAGTTGTTTTTCCTTTTACCCCTTTCCACTCAGAGCACTATTAGCTTGAGCTGCACAAAGCTGTCGGCTTGCTTGGCAGGCTTCGATGAGGGGCTGGGGCCTCAAGCCCAGTTGATTAGCCGTGGATTAATCCAATCCAAGTTCTTTTCATCAGATTCTGAAAAGTACAGGGGTGGGAACTGAAGGCCTGGGTCCCTCAGGAACTGTCTAGTGATTAAAACAAATCTGTGGTTATGCAGCGAGGTGCTTGCCAGGGCAGCAAGTTGGTTTGTGGAACTTAACTGCTAAGCCTGCCATGCTAGGCCCTTGCAGGCAGGGGAATGGTGAGTTTTCTTTAACCCCTTCAGCCATTCTAGGAGAATGGTGTCTCACTATGTTGTTCAGGCTAGGCTTGAGCAGTCTGGGAATTGTAACATTTTAGACCTGGCAGGGAGGTGGTTCCTTGTCTTGATTATGGCTCTGTTTATCTGTTTCTTTGACCTGTCCCAGGCAGCGTGGTGAGCACATGATGGTCGGAAGGAAGCCCAAGAATCCAATCAAATCTGTTCACAGGGGGCCTAGATCATGTGAGATTAAACTTCACAACCCTGGTTCCTTCCTCCCCGGCTCGTATGTCTTCCCAGCCCTTCAGAGGGAACGGCAGGAGGTGGAGGGGCTATTTGCATACACTCTGGCCTGTGGTGTATAGGTTTTGGGATCTAAAATGTTACAGGTTTCCCCTCTTGTGTGGAAACATAGCATGCCTCCTAACCCCACCCTAGGACGATAACTCAGCAGACATTTTGTCCAAGAAAAATGCTTCAGGTACATAAAAGATTGGTGATTCTTCTGGAAGAGCTTCTGTTCTCTAGTCTATCAGAAGATAATCTCATGAGGGTGGGTGTGGGGGTGCATACCTGCAATCCCAGAACTCTGGGAGGCCAAGGTGGGCAGATTGCTTGAGCCCAAGGGTTCAAGACTAGCCTGGGCAACATAGTGAGACCCCCATCTCTACAAAAATTAGCCAGGCATAGTGGTGCCCATCTGTAGTCCCAGCTACTCAGGAGGCTAAAGTGGGAGGATCACTTGAGCCTGGGAGGCAGAGATTGCATTGAGCCAAGATTGCACCACTGCACTCAAGTCTGGGCAACAGAGTGAGCCTTTGTCTCAAAAACAACAAAAAAAAATCTCATGGAGAAGCTGGGAGCTCTTGGGGTTGGTAATGGGGTACAGAAAATCTTACTAAGTTGGAATTAACCTTTGTTGGATAAATAAAGGTAGCAGACCAGTGTGCAATGCTGTGTGTGGAGGAAGTGATCTCAGGCAGGTTCCCAGGAGACATCCACCTCCCCTGTAGACCATAAAGCCCTAGCTTCCCAGCATCAAAAGCAAGCCCAGCTGACCCTCATCCCCTGTTTTCTGTTTCCACTAGGATGTTCTGCTGCTTAGCCAGTTCATCCGGCCTCATGGAGGCATGCTACCCCGAAAGGTCACAGGCCTGTGCCGGGAAGAACACCGCAAGATCGAGGAGTGTGTGAAGATGGCCCACCGAGCAGGTAGAAGGCCCTCAGGACCAAGAGGGGCAGAGGGCTGCAGGAGCTGTCTCTCCCCACCCAGCTGCCCCATGTTTTGGCCCCTCCTGGAAGAAAATTGGATATCCAGAGTGTTAATTACACTCACTGCCCAATGCCAACCTCCCCGCTCCCTTGGGCTTTCCCTCTGGCCCCCTCAGAGCTGCAGAGGGAACTGCAAAGACTGTCCCCTCTTCCCTCCACTCAGGTCTGTTACCAAATCACAGGCCTCGGCTTCCTGAAGGAGTTGTTCCGAAGAAGAAACCCCAGCTCAACCGGTAAGCAAACCTGGGTGTGAACAGCCTGAGCGTTCTGCAGGCCCACAGCCTTCACTGGCTTCCACTGGGGAAGCTGTTTGCCAGAAATCATCCCACAGCTCAGGAAAGCTGGGGTGCACCTTGCCTGTCCGTTCCATTCTCTGCCAGCTTGAGCACCCAACCCCATCAGTCCACCCCTGCTGCAGTCTTTGCTTCTTCTGTTGCTTTCTTTGCTGGCCTCAGCCTCTTTCCTCCCCTGTAGGGCCCTTAGCAAAGGGGCCAGGAGGGTAGAGGCTTGCTGATTGGGCGTTAGAATGTGCTAATCCCTCGTTTATGACATCACACTGGGTTGCTATGGGGATGTCAGTACCACTGCAAACTTTCAGTATCCTAGCTCTCTCCAGCGCTGGGGTTATTAGAGGGCAGAAGGCCTTAGAAATGGGAGGGCTTCCTGGGTTAGCGCCACTGAATACAGCTGTGCAGGTTGCACATTGGACAACTTCAGGACAACATCCATGTAAACTAGGTCACAAATAGTGCTCCCCAGGGTTGTACAGTTAATCTACACAGCGCCATGTGGCAGTCTAGGAGGCCCTGAGTTTATATAGACGAGGAGAGGATGGCCCCCAGCCCGTGGAATCATTCAGTCTGCCTTCTAGTCTAAGCAGGACCCTATAGAGCAAGAGCCGATTCTTGTCTAACATTCAAGCAGCTGTCCTATTGCAAGTTCCCTTCCTCCGTCCTCTCTGACATCAGCATACTCACATACTCTTAGATTTGTAGTATCCTCTTTAGAGAGTAGAGCCAGGTCTGTAAAATAGATTTGAGGGGGTTCTTCTCCCCTACCAATGGCCCTTTCCTTCTGTCCAGCTAGTGGTTCCCAGACTGGACTGAGGAACATATTAGGTTGACGCAAAAGTAATTGCAGTTTTTGCCCTTTTTTAAATTTCATTGCTCTCTGTAAGGTATCAAAGATGACTGATGCAAAGCAAGACACCTCAGCCCCCAGCAAACCTCCTAGGCGGATCCCCAACAGAATTCAGGCATGGAGGGTAGGGGGGTGCAGGATGTGGGAATGCAGGGCTTCTTCCTGGTATCTTGCCTCTTTGTACCTGGAGGCTAAGTCAGAGCTGGACCTTTACCAACACCATGCCGGCACCCTGGCGACATGCCCACCTCTACCTGCACTCCCCACATTGCTAGCTCAGCCATCTGCCAGCAGCTCTTGGGGAGCAGGACATGCTAACCTCTTCCTATGTCTCCCAACTGTGCTATGGACCATTTGGGAGTTGAGCCCACCCCCCTCTGCCGTTTTAAGAGACAGCAGCAGGCCTGAGGACACAATCCATGCTGCCTCAGGCCTTTGAAGCTAAGCCAGGCGCCCTCCCATACATCCGGCTTCCTTTAACGTGACACAGGATTGATGATGTGTGGGGCCTTGTTGGTTGCAAAAGGCCACCCTGAGTGGGAGGGGGAGTTCAGGCTACGAAGGACATTGATTCCCTTGCAGAGGAGTCTCGTTCCATGCTGCCATGCATGGGTGCAGGCTCTGCTGGGGCCTGGTGGAGCCATGCTTTGTCTGCCGCTGTGTCCCTCCTCATGCTGCCCCTTCAAGAGGTAGGAAGGGGCTGGTTCTTGTTAGAGCTGGGGTGTTCCCAGAGAGCTGGCTGGAGGCCACCCAGCCCACCCCCTGCCAGCTGGCTGCTCCATGTGGCACAGGCACCAGGCCCAAGGCCAGCTAAAGCCCAGCTTCCCTCTCCAAGGCATGGGAGAAAGAACAGCTCTAGGGTGGTAGCTCAGGAGAACCTGGTCAGCTTATCCTCTGCAGTCCCCAGATTTCAATGAGCACCCCTTCTGGGGAGCCTGCTCTCCTACCCAATCTCTCATGCACTCCTCTGAAGGCTGGGAGAGGCCAGCAAAGGGGCCATCCCTGGTCCCCTCTCTCTTAATCTTCTGTCACCCAGGACCACAGACCATAGAAAAAGCAGTCCCTGTAGCTAGCCTCCTTCATAGTCATCACCCTGGCCAGGGCAGTGACAGCTTGAGGAGACACAGAATAGTCCCTCCCCTCCCTGCCGAGCGTACGCTTGGAGTGCAGGCCGGCACCTCCCGAATCTTACCCTCACTCAGGGCTGGCAGCAGAAGACCAAGGTCCAGTAGAGCTCAGTTGAACTGCATAGATCAGCAATCATTTTTTAACTTAAGAGTTTTTAGTCAAGGTTATTGATTTTTTTTTTTTTTTTTAAATAAAAAAGTGTTTTCTTTGACGGTCTCTAGAGACAGCTGGGTTGAGCCCCAACCTAGAATGGAGGCAGGGGAGGATTCCTGGCCGTTGTCATAGCTGAGCTTTCAGAATGAAGGATGGGCCTTTCTGGACAGGATCCAAGTTTTATTCTGGACAAAGTAAAACCAAATCCCAGCCGGCATGAGCCACTTTTCTGGGAACTATCAGGGCCCTGGCCATCCCCAGAGAAGGCCAAAGGTCCATGGGTGGCAGCCATCTTTCCCCACCCCACCTCCTACTTACAGGAACCTTCCTGGGCTAGGGCTGTGCCTGCAGGCCCTTACCACTTATTTCCCATTACAGGTTGGGTGAGGGGCAGGGGTCCTACACCAGTTATGGTACCCTGGGGAGTTCCCTAAAGGCTAGGGTGGCTGAGTGAGCCAAATGGGGAAGAGTAATGGGTTCCTTCAGGCCCTTACATCAGCTCTTCTCACCCCATGGCTGAGGCCAGAGGAATGATCTGCTCAGGCAGCCTCTTCCTCCTTTTGCTCAGCAAACACACACAAACATTGACAATTATGAAGATCAAGGGAGCTCGTGGCTCTGAGCTGCCTGACCCTGGCCACACAGGCTTTCAGCAGCAAGAGCCCAGCCCATCTGTTTACAGGACACCCAGCTGTTACTCCCAAGAAAATCCCTGCATTTCAGGAAAGGGAAACTGGTGAAACGATTTGCTTGCGCAACCATGGCCAGGCCTAAGGAGGCAGAGCTTCACTCTCCCAGTTCCAGCTTGGGCCCCCAGCCCTCACAGGCACATCTTTATTCTCCCTCCACAGGTACCTGACGCGCTGGGCTCCCAAGTCCGTCAAGCCCATCTACAAAAAAGGCCCCCGCTGGAACAGGGTGCTCATGCCCGTGGGGTCACCTCTCCTGAGGGACAATGTCTGCTACTCAAGAACACCTTGGAAGCTGTATCAATGACAGACAGCAGGGCTTCCAAAGTTCCTCTTGCACCTGTGCTGTGGAGTAGGAGGCCCACTCACAAGCCCTCGGCCCCAACTATTCTCCTGCCCCACCCCACCACGATGGCCTGGCCCCTCCAATATGGATGGACAGGGGACAGTGGGATAAACTTCAGTACCCTTGGCTTGCCCAGTAGCAATGCTGAGAGCTAGAGGCAAGCAGGGCAGTTGGGTCCCTTGGCAGCCGCTGTGGGGCTTGGGCCATGCTCAGTGCTGGGGACAGGAGTTTTGCCCAATGGAATGTCATAAAGTAGGCTCATGGGCTTACCCACTGGATGTGTGCTCACTGCTTGGGAAGTACAGGGGCACCTGGGCACATTTCAGGCTGAGCATTGAGTCACTGATCTCTTGTGATGGAGCCAATGAGTCAATTAGAGGGAATTCATGGGCCAAACAGGCTCCATCCTCTTTATGACAGCTGTAAGCTCCTTAGTCTGGGAGAGCCACAAGGAGCCAAGGAGGGCTTCCTGGCACACCTGCCGCTCGTATGAATCCAAGAAACTGCCTTCTTCAAAGGGGCCCTGATTGTCACCTTTTCCCACAGCTATTTCCACCCATCATTGTCTAGTATCTTTCATTAGCACATTCCAACCCTCTGCCATTTGGTTTAGAGATGAGTTCCCTGGCTCATTGGGCCTGTCAGAACCTGGAACCAGACGACGATGGAGATACGAAGGTAGGACAGAACAACCAGGCCAAGTTCACTGAAGCTTAAGAAAATCATGTTAAGAGGCTGTGTTTAAAAATCCAGGCTGGCGCCTTCTATAGCATGAAGGGCAAGTCCATGTTCTTCTCACCAGTGCCCACATAGATGTAGCCATAGTTCTTGGTGCGGGGAGCATGGTAGAAGGTGAGGCCTGGCCAGAGCAGGCTGCGCAGCACCACCAGGGCGTTGCCCCTCTCCATCTGGATACTCCAGGACCCTGGGAGGAGACAGGGAAGAGATGAGGCCTGGGTGCTCAGACTCCACTGGGGAAAGACCCTTTAATTCTCCGAGGTGCTTTATTCCAATTGCCTTTTAGCCATTATTATTTTCGATTTAAGAGCATGTCACCCAGGCTGGAATGCAATGGTGCAATCAACTCACCACAACCTTGACTCCTGGGCTCAAGTGAGCCTCCCACCTTAGCCTCCAGAGTAGCTGGGACCATGGGCATGCACCGCCACACCCTGCTAGCCTTTTTGATTTTTTGTAGAGATGGAGCCTTACTGTATTGCCGAGGCTGGTCTCAAACTGCTGGGCTTAAGCAGTCCTCCCACCTTGGCTGCCCAAAGCACTGGGATTACAGGTGTGAGCCACCACACCTGGCCCTTTTAGCCTTCTCACTGCTCATTAAGAGGGCAGAGGAAATGAAGAGGTGAAACTCGAACCAGTCTGTTTTGTTCCTATCAGCAAGTCTAGCTAAAGGTTGAGTGGGGGAGGAGGCTGAATCCACAGGCAGAGGGGAGTTAGGCTGGGCCAAGGGAGACACCAGCTCCTCTCACCCTATACCCAGTGCAGTCACCAGTTCTAGTGTGGTTTGCCCCTACTTGCCATTTTGCTCTGTCTTTACCCACTCCCAGAAGCCTCTCCTGAGTTGGATTAGACCAGACCAGGAAAGGAAGGCTCAAATAGAAGTTTGGCTAGTTCAGGCCTCCTAGCTCAATGGCCCTTTCTGGCAGCTGGTAAACTGGGAGCCATCCTTGGTGGGAGGGGACTTGGGCTGCCCCTAATGAGCCTTTGTCCTGGGTTCTGCCCTGGTTTTTGCCTCCCCACACAGGAGCAGCCCTGCTAAGGGCTAAGTCATGCAGCCATGAGGACTTGGCTGGAAGGGCCTTAATTCAGCTCCAGAACTGAGGGAGGGAGCCACAGTGTGGGAGGAAGGAGCCTGGGAAAATCGCCTCTGGATGAAGATCTGGGGCTTCTATTCCCCTGCGCACTGAGGCCTCTCCCGGCCCAGCCGCAGTCCTGTTAGGGGCCCTGCCAGAAAGGCAAATGCTTTGAAAGTTTTGGTGTTGGACCAGCCAGCCATGCGCTGAGAGCTGCTCCGAAGCCTTCATCAGCTGCCAGCTCAGCCCGGCTGCTTGGCTGCTGCTGCTCCAGCTTCCCACGGACCACCTCAACCATGGTCCACCCTGGTCACTCACACCCACCAGCCTCACAACTCAGTGCCCACCCACTGGGGGCCACCCTTCATCTAAGAAAACTGATTGCCAAGAACCCCTGATCCTCATGGCAGCTCAGCCCTGCTCCAGGTATAGCCGCCTGCCCAGGTCAAAACCCCAGTTTGACTGTCCCTGGTATGGCTCAGGGAGAAGCCAGTCACAAAGCTCACTTTAGCACCAAGTGCCATCACCCATGCAAGAGATAATGAAGTCAGATTCGCAGTGTGGACCTGTCAGCTCCCCTAGCCCACACGGTGCCTGCAGGACAACATTAGGAAGAAAGTGCACTGCCCCTGAGATGGAGCATTTCCCCAGACTCTTACAACTTTTCTCTGGTGCTTGAGGTCCTCTGCCTCTCAGGCCTGCCCTCAGAGTTCAAGTGTCCCTAGCCTGGTACTTTCCTGGTTATGCATCTCCAGAAAACACTGCTTAGGGTTGATGAGGATTGGGGTCCGACAGGACAAAGTGTTCCTACTCCACTGCTTTCAGCCTCGGGCAAGAAGCAGACCCTGGAAGGTCCCATTCCCCCTCCGTCACCCCACCAGCCCAGAGGATTGTCAGGGGGCAGCCTCCATAAACACACTGTCCCTTGGCCCCTTGAACTAAGACCAGACTGCCTTATCTGTCTTTGCCTTCCAAGGGAGGGCAGCTTGCAGCCTGCCTGGGCCAGATGCTGCCCTGGAGAAAATGGAATCCTGGAGTCCTCCAACCTAGACCCTTCTCAGTTCATTGTTGCCAGCACCTTGGCATGCCTGGGCAAGAGCTGGGTCCTGCCCTCACACCAGCCTGTCAGCCTAGGCTTTAGCCACCGCTTGCCTCCAGTAATGGGGGTAGGGGGCACAGAGTGGGAGGAACAGTGTTTTTGGGTAAAGTGGCCCAGGCCTATCAGCAGGGGCTCCTACCCAGAGACCAAGGAGAAACTGGCAGGGGAGCTAGAGAAAGACAGTGCCGCCACCAGGCAGGGGGCAACATCGCACAGGCGGTAGGGTCCTGGTGGAGTATGGAAGTGGCATGTGAGGGGCCAGCCAGAAAACAGCACTGCCTCCCTCCCTCACATTCCTGTCACACTCCTGTTCTCTCATCGTCCCTGGTTCAGCTGGTCGCCCAGGAAACACGCAGACTCTCAACGTGCCAGGAGTCACGTAGCATCTACCTGAAGAGCCAGGCACTTGCTGTCACCTTCACCCACTTTCTTACTGCAACTGCTGAACAGGCTGAGCCCAGCCAGCTGCTGTCACCGCCTCCAGAACTCAGGGAAAAACCCCCTGCAGCCCTGGTGCTGCAGGTTCACAGCCCCTGCTCTCTCCTCTCTCCCCAAATCCCTCCTGCCCTCTGGCAGCCACTCTTCTCCAGAAGCTGTGTTTTGAGAATGTGATGGGTACAAGTTGTTAAGTCAGGAGGGGGCCCCCAGGGTCTCACCCACCTTGCTAGTAGGGAAACCTCAGGCTAGTGTGTACTTATTCTAATTACATTCTCCTGCCATCCTGGAAGAAAGGCTGCTCTGGGATTAAGATTGAGGGAGAGTGGGCCAGGCTGGGGACCAGGGCTGTCTAGGGGCAACAGATGGCTTAAACCCTCTCAGATGAGTACCAACAAAATTTTTGTCACACAAAAAAAATGGCCATGGATTTCCAGTGGGAGAGGCACCCCCATCCCCTAGAAGGGCCACAAGATAGAATCATGTAATCCTTAGAGGCCTGAGGACAGAGGAAGAGTGAGGCACCCCTGGCCACCAGTGCCCTATCAAATTGATGAGCAGCAGAGTCAGGCCCCATGGCCCAGAAGGCCGAACACTTGGTCAACCAGGCTTCCAAGAAACTGAGACAGGAAGCACCACCTGCACACATCCCTAAGGGAAGGCTGACCGAGGGCACCATGTTACCCCCCACCACCACCATGCACGCCTCACTTGCCCCCTTCCCAGTCCTCAGCCAACACCAGCAGCAGCTTTCAAAGGCTGCTTTCCAGGCAGGCAGGCCCCATGCTGCCCTCTGCTGCCTGAACTAAGCATTGCTGCTGAGAAATTGCTTGGGAAGGAGCCCCAGTCTTACCGCACCTGGCAATTCTGAGACATCCGCTCCAGCCCTCCCACACTACCTCCCAGGACACCGATGACCCTGCTTGCAAGGCACCTTCTAGTTTACATTTCCCTTTCCCATCCTCTGTTTCATGTGATCTTCTCAAACCTCAGAGGCAAGGGAGGTGTCTTAGTCCAAGGGCATCACAGGTGCCTGTTGTAGCTGCTCAGTGGCTATTTGCTGATATAGTGGATGGTCAGGGAGCATCAAATGGCAGGATACTACCTAGAAATCTAGCCCCCTGACTGGGCGCGGTGGCTCGCGCCTGTAATCCCAGCATTTTAGGAGGCAGAGGTGGGTGGATCACCTGAGGTCAGGAGTTCAAGAACAGCCTGGCCAACGTGGTGAAACCCTGTCTCTCCTAAAAATACAAAAATTAGTCCGGCATGGTGGCCTGTGCCTCTAATCCCAGCTACTTGGGAGGCTGAGGCAGGAGAATTGCTTGAACCCAGGAGGCGGAGGTTGCAGTGAGCCAAGGTTGCAGCAAGACTCAAAATTTATATATATATATATATATCCTCCTGACCCACAGCTGCATCTATGCCACCTGGCTGCAGCCAGCCCAAGTTTGGAGAACTCTTAGTCATTGCCCTGGATCCCGCAGGAGGATGGTCCTGGTACCCCAGAACCAGCTACCCACTCCCATAGAACATTGCAGATCCCTGGACGTTGCATGACAGCTCATGAGAACAATAGCCCTCCCCCTCCTCTCTTCAGCCAAGGCATATCTTATCACTTCAACCAAGGGCCAAGATGCTGAGCCGCTGGCCTGCCTCATGGACACAGAGAGCAGGAGTCCCAGGAACAGGGCCAACCTAAACCACACCTGCTCAGAAGCCACATGAAGTCACCCTGAACAATTGCCTCAGACCCTGAAAGGAAACAGTTATCCTCACTGGCCAGAAAACAGCTGGCAAATCCTGTCCCTTCAGCCAGTCCTGGTGTCCCAGGGAGCTCTTCCTTGGGGTTTTGGCCCCAATTAGCAGCCCGGCCCAGCTGCTGCCTGCCTGGCAGGGGAGCCTTCCAGCAGCTCAGTATGCTCTTTTCCTAACTGATAAGAAAGGGAACTGGGGAGGAAAATCAGAGCTGTCTGCCCTCCTCCGACCATCCACACTTCCACTCCATCACCATGGCTCTCATCAAACCATCAAGAGAAAAAGGTGGGCCTAGGCTAGGCGCAGTGGCTCATGCGTGTAATCCCAGCACTTTGGGAGGCTGAAGTGGGTGGATCCCTTGAGCTCAGTTGTTCAAGCCCAGCCTGGGCAACACAGTGAAACCTCATCTCTACAAAAAATACAAAAACTAGTCAGGCATGGTGGTCCATACCTGTAGTCCCAGCTACTCGGGAGGCTGAGGCAGGAAGATCCCTTGAGATCAGTTCAAGACCAGGCTGGCCAACATGGTGAAACCTCATCTCTACTAAAAATACAAAAAATAGCCAGGTATTGTGACACATGCCTGTCATCCAGCTACTCAGGAGGCTGAGGCAGGAGGATCACTTGAACCCGGGAGCCAGAGGATGCAAGTGAGCTGAGATTGCACCACTGCACTCCAGCCTGGCAACAGAGAAAGACTCTGTCTCAAAAAAAAAAAAGCCAGGCTGGGTGCAGTATCTCACGCTTGTAATCCCAGCACTTTGGGAGGCCGAGGTGGGTGGATCACCTGAGGTCAGGAGTTCAGAGCAGCCTGGCCAATTTGGTGAAACGCTATTTCTACTTTTAAAAAAAAAAAAAAAAAAAAATTAGCCAGGCATGGTTGCAAGCACCTGTAATTCCAGCTACACCGGAGAATCGCTTGAACCCAGGAGGTGGAGGTTGCAGTGAGTCGAGATCCCGCCATTGCATTCCAGGCTGGGTGACAAAAGCAAGACTACGTCTCAAAAAAAAAAAAAAAAAAGACTTCAGTGGAGGAAGTAACTGCAGATGTGGTAGAAATAGCAAAAGAATTAGAATTCAGAAGTGGAGCATGAAGATGTAACTGAATTGCTGTAATCTCATGATAAAACTTAAATGGATGAGGGGTTGCTTCTTACAAATGAGCAAAGAAAGTGGTTTCTTAAGATGAAACCCACTCCTAGTGAAGATGCTGTGAACATTGTTGAAATGACAACAAAGGATTAAGAATATTACCTAAGCCAGCGCAGTGGCTCACACCTGTAATCCCAGCACTTTGGGAGGCCCAGGCAGGCAGATCATGAGGTCAAGAGATGGAGATCATCCTGGCCAACATGGTGAAACCTCATCTCTACTAAAGATACAAAAATCAGCTGGGCATAGTGGCGTGTGCCTGAAGTGGCAGCTACTCAGGAGGCTGACAACAGAGCAAGACTTTTAAAAAAAAAACCTGGGAATACTGGATGCTGTAGGCTTTTGGCCGGGCACGGTAGCTCACACCTGTAATCCCAGCACTTTGGGAGGCTGAGGCAGGTGGATCACAAGGTCAGGAGTTAAAGACCAGCCTGGCCAAGATGGTGAAACCCCATCTCTACTAAAAATACAAAAATTAGCTGGGCGTGGTGGCGGGCACCTATAATCCCAGCTACCCGGAAGGTGGAGGCAGAGAACTGCCTCCCGAGCTCAAGCAATTCTTCCTACCTCAGCCTCCCGAGTAGCTGGGATTATAGACACGTGCCACCATACCCAGCTAATTTTTCTATTTTTAGTAGAGATGGGGTTTTGCCATGTTGGCCAGGCTGATCTTGAACTCCAGACCTCCAGTGATCCACCCACGTTGGCCTCCCAAAGTGCTGGGGTTACAGGCATGAGCCACCACGCCCGGCTAGTGTGTTGATTTTCATTTGAGTCCTTACGATGTGTTAGGCACTGTTATAAGCATTTTGGACATGAGTTAACTCATTTAATTCTCACATCCAGGTACTCACCAGGCCTGACCCTGCTTAGCTTCCAAGATCAGATCAGATTAGGCACATTCAGGTGGTATAGGAGTAGTCCATTTAATTCTCATAACAACCCAATGAGGTAGAAAATATCAATTCTCCCCTTTTAGAAATGAGGAAACTGAGGCACAGGGAAATGGAGGAATTTACATGAAGTCACACAGCTAGTAAGTGGCCAACAGCCTGTCTGATTCCACAGCCCTTGCCGTCCCCACCCCCATCCTGAGATCCTGTCTAGCTGGGTCGTTGGCTGCTCTTCAAAAGTGTTTCCCCCTAGAGCTGTGGGTGACCATCATCCTGTGGTTCCTATTATCGTTTAAACTGTGTTGTTTACTTAACAATACAGTTTATGCCAGAGCCATGGAATCTGACACTTGAACACTTACTGTGTCCTTGGGTTTAAGTCTCTGAGCCCCTGTTTCTTCATCTGTAAAATGGGGATAAAATAGGCTGGCTGTGAAGATTAAAATGAGATAAGGCATGGCAAGAGCTGAGTACAGTGCCTGGCACACAGTAAGCAGTGTCATGTTTCTTTTTATTTTTAAGAAACAGAGTCTCGCTCTGTTGCCCAGGCTGGAATGCAGTGGCGCAATCCCGACTCACTGCAACATCCGCCTCTCGGGTTCTAACAATTCTCCTGCCTCAGCCTCCCGAGTAGCTGGGACTATAGGTGTATGCCACCATGCTGGGCTGATTTTTTGTATTTTAGTAGAGACAGGGTTTCACCATGTGGCCCAGGTTGGTCTTGAACTCCTGAGCTCAGGCAATCCACTCGCCTCCCAAAGTTCTTGGATCACCGGCGTGAGCCACCGAACCCGGCAGCAGTGTCATGTTTCATGAGTTAGTTGTTATTGTCATCATCATTGCCATCATCATCATTAGATCCCTCTCATTCTCAGGAACACCAAACAAAGGAAGAGAAAGAAGTAGGGCACTGAGTCTGTGCCTTGGGCCTGGCCCCCAGTGGCCTAGAGCCTGGCACCTGAATTGGGTCATAGCATCCGAAGACTCTATGGGAGATGCTCAAGGGAAGGAAATGGGGTCTCAGCGGCCCTGCTAACAACTGCTGGGTTTGTGCCTGGGCCAGGTAGGCCCTACAACACAGGAAGGCCTCTGAAGCTGTATGCTTTAAGATTTTAAACACTTTCTCCTATACGTATAGTAGAAAGCAGATGCACAGAACTTGCCTTAGCAGGTGGTTTGCTATTCAATCAGTCAACCCCCACTTACATGTGCCAAGCATTATATCCAATCCCCAAATCCCAGAATCCCAAAAGTAATAGTTGAGATGTAAGTATGGTTAGTATTTTCAGGGATGTTTGGGAGAATATTTCCAACCTGCCTCATTCAAGATTGCTATGAAAATCAAGAGACGCTGAGATACCTCTGCTCTGTGAAAGCGTATGGAAAACAATCCTACCTTCTGTAATTCAAGAACATTCATCAAGTGTACACTATAAGCTCTAGGCCCTGGGAAAGCCCCACCCTCAAAATCCCATGGTGAACCACCAACTTCCACTAGGCCCTTGGTTCCAGTCTCAGAGGAGAATGACAGGTGGCATGGCCCACTGCTATGACCTGAGGACAGATCCCATGGCCTCAAGGTAATGGACTATTACCTTTGGGGACATCGTGCTCCAAGGAGTCCATGAAATCCAAGGAGGGGTCCAGGTCAGCCTTCTCAAGCAAGGTCTTATTCTTTAGCTCAACAGGCTCCCTGAAGTGGAAGTAGGAGCTGAGCTTCTTGGCCTCAGACAAGGACAGTCCTAGAAAGAGGTGGCAGGCAGGAAAAGGATGGTTAGCCTAAAACTCCCCAACCCCCTTTCTCTCTGCATTGGGACCACATGGTGGGGCTTGCAAAAGACCCTGTCAACCACTGACAGACAGCTGAAGGAATAAAAGGGATTAGCGTTCCCTCAGTCCAAACTTAGACCAGATCCTGCCATAGAGTCCCCTCAGATGCAGTGGCTCACACCTGTAATCCCAGCACTTTGGGAGGCCCAGGCAGGTGGATCACCTAAGGTCAGGAGTGTGAAAGCAGCCTGGCCAACATGGCGAAACCTTGTCTCTACTGAAAATACAAAAATTAGCTGGGTGTGGTGGTAGGTGCCTATAATTCCAGCTACTCAGGAGGCTGAGGCAGGAGAATCATTTGAACTCAGGAGGCAGAGGTTGCAGTGAGCCAAGATCGTGCCATCGCACTCTGGCCTGGATGACAAGAGCGAAACTCAAGAAAGAAGTGGGCTAGGTGCGGTGGCTTACACCTATAATCCCAGCAGTTTGGGAGGCCGAGGCAGGCAGATCATGAGGTCAGGAGATTGAGAACATCCTGGCCAACATGGTGAAACCCCATCTCTGCTAAAAATACAAAAAATTAGCTGCGTGTGGTGGTGCACACCTTTAGTCCCAGCTACTCGGAAGGCTGAGGCAGGAGAATCTCTTGAGCCCAGGAGGCGGAGGTTGCAGTGAGCCGAGATTGCACCACTGCACTCCAGCCTGGGGACAGAGTGAGACTCCCTCAAGGAAGGAAGGGAGGGAAGGAGGGATGGGAGGGAAAGAGACAGGGGAAAGGGGAGGGGAAAGAGAAGGGAAGGAGGGGAGGGGAGGGGAGGGTCCAAGGAGGAGATAGGAGGAAGGAGATAGGAAACAGCAAGTAGCCCAGACCCATGTAAAGCCCTGGGACCAGGGGACTATAGGCTCTCCCACTCCTCAGCTGAAGAGAGTCAGGGGCCAGTGACTGGGGAGCCCATACCAACCACCAGGGCCAGGTCACTGGGCACACCTTCCCAGATGATAAGGTCACAGCTATTCCTTCTTTGATGAAGTGTGCAAGTCCCCCTGCTGGACTCCCAGACATAAGTTCTACTGTCTGGGAAAAGATACCCTCCAGACCTTGAGAGGGGCCCCAGAGAACTCACCTTCAAAGGTCCGATTGACATGGGTGGGTCCAAAAGGGGTCTTGAAGAGGGCGCCTCGGGGGATGATGGCCACAGCCTTGTCAATCTGGTCAATGATATACACTAAGCGGGTCTCTTCCTTGATCTGGACCTGAGGAGACAGGAGAGGAGTATCCTGCCAGGGCACTGTGCCCATCCACCCCAGTGCAAGGTCCCTCTGCATGGCCATCTCACCTGCATCACCGCAGTGTAGTAGACACCAGAGCCACACAGATGACACCCAGCAAGCCCTCGCCTTCCTTCCTATCAAGATGTTCTTCCTTTCTATTTATTTATGTTTTAATTTGTAATACATACAAGTGATATGATATTCAAAACTAGAAAAATGTAGTCTTTCACCCCAGTCCCTGAGCCCCTAGTTGCCCTAACTAGGGACAACCACCATTGAAGGTTCTGATGCACTCTTCCAGAGGCATACCATCCTATCAACGTATTTAAATGTTGCTTATTTTGCCTTTTAAAAATATAATGTAACCATGTTCACTGTAGAATATGTGGATAATATAGAAAGACATACCAAAGAGAATAAAAACCACTCAAAATCCTACCTCTTGAAGAGAATCACTGATAGCATATTAGTATACTTTCTTCGTGGTTTGTTTTTTGTTTTGAGACAGGGTCTCATTCTGTAACCCAGGCCATGTGCAGTGGCACAATCATGGCTTACTGCAGCCTCAACCTCCTAGGCTCAGATGATCCTCCTACCTCAGCCTCCCAAGTAGCTGGGAATGTAAGCACATGTCACCACACCTGGCTTTTTTTTTTTTTTCTCAATTTTTCATTTAGTTAGTTTTTGAGACAGAGTCTTGCTCTGTCACCCAGGCTGGAGCACAGTGCACGATCTCAGCAACCACCACCTCCTAGGTTCAAGTGATTCTCCTGCCTCAGCCTCCTGAGTAGCTGGGACTAGGCATGTGCCACTGCACCCAGCTAATGTTTGCATTTTTTTTTTTTTTTGAGACGGAGTTTCGCTCTTGTTACCCAGGCTGGAGTGCAATGGCGCGATCTCGGCTCACCGCAACCTCCGCCTCCTGGGTTCAGGCAATTCTCCTGCCTCAACCTCCTGAGTAGCTGGGATTACAGGCATGCACCACCATGCCCAGCTAATTTTTTGCATTTTTAGTAGAGACGGGGTTTCACTATGTTGACCAGGATGGTCTCGATCTCTTGACCTCGTGATCCACCCGCCTCAGCCTCCCAAAGTGCTGGGATTACAGGCTTGAGCCACCATGCCCGGCCATGTTTGCATTTTTAGTAGAGACAGAGTTTCGCCATGTTGGCCAGGCTGGTCTTGAACTGACCTCAGGTGATCTTTCTGCCTTGGCCTTCCAAAGTGCTGGGATTACAGGCGTGAGCCACTTGCCCACCCAATTTTTGTATTTTTGGTAGGGATGGGGTTTCTCCATGTTGCCCAGGCTGGTCTTGAACTCCTGGGCTCAAGGAATCTGCCTGCTTCAGCCTTCAAAGTGCTAGGATTACAAGGTGAGCCACAGTGCCCAGCCCTCTGTGCATATATTTAAAGCAAAATTAGAGTCACAGTTTATATTGTTTCATATCCTTCTTTTCAGTTTAACATTATTTCCCAAGCACTTCCCCATATCATACCCTTTTTACACAGATGATATTTAGTTACAATTACTATCTAGGGCAACCCTGAACAAAAGGATTTCATAGAGATTTTGTGGAAGAGCCTGACAGAGAAAGCATGTCAACTAAGGACCCTAGAGAGTCACTGGGTCACCTATTTGCCATAGGCTGCCTACTTGAACGATTTACAAAGGAAAGGTAGACACTAAGCTTTAAGTGCTGAGGCCAGGGTTTTTAATTATGTCACCTCATTTAATCTACACAAGCCTGCAAAGTAAATACAATTATCTCAATTTTACAGAAAATAAATAAATAAATAAGCCGGGCACCGTGGCTCATGCCTGTAATCCCAGCACTTTAGAGGCTGAAGTGGGAGGATTACCTGAGGTCAGGAGTTCAAGACCTGCCTGCCCAATATGGCAAAACCCCATCTCTATTAAAAATACAAAAAATTAGCTGGGCATGGTGACAGGTGCCTATAATCCCAGCTACTCAGGAGGCTGAGGCAGGAAAATCACTTGAACCCAGGAGGCAGAAGTTGCAGTGAGCTGAGATCATGCCACTGCACTCCAGCCTGGGCGACAAGAACGAAGCTCCATCTCAAAATAATAATAATAATAAAACTGAGGCTCAGGAAGATTAAGTTGATGTGGTAGGAGTGGGTGGGGGTTGCAGCTGAGGCCTCACAGACCTAGTCTCAGACTTTTGTCATCACCCAGGTTCAAGGGCAGCAGCTGGGCTTTAAATTCTGGGATTGTATAGTTTCAAAACTTGAGCTCCTTAGTGTTAACCCAGCAAGTCTATTTCCAGGAACTGACCTTCCCAAGAATTACACACAATGGAAATGATTTTTTTTTTAATTTCTCTTTTAGTTTCCGATTCTGCAAAAGGAAATTATGTCTATATGGTCATTTATTATGATAATGTTTGTTAGAACTAAAATTTGGAAACCAGCTGGATGAGATGGCTCATGCCTGCAATCGCAGCACTTTGGGAGGCTGAGGTGGGAGGATCGCCTGAAGCCAGGAGTTCAAGACCAGCCTGGGCAACATGGCAAGACCCCATTTCTATCAAAAAATACAAAAATTAGCCAGGTGTGGTAGTATGCACCTATAGTCCCAGCTCCTTGAGAGGCTGAGCTGGAGAATCACTTGAGCCCAGGGGATGGAGGCTGCAGTGAGCCACGATCATGGCATTGCACTTCAGCCTGGGCAACAGACTGAGACTCTGTCTCCAAAACAAATAAAAACAAAATAAAACTTGGAAACCTATATTTTCATGAATAAGATACTGGGTAAATTATGGTACATTCCCACGATGGAGGAGGAGGAGGAGGAGGAAGAGGAGGAGGAAGGAGGAAGGAGAAAGGAGGAAGGAGGAAGAAGGAAAAAGAAGAAGAAAGAATGGAGTTGGACACAGTGGCTCACATGTGTAAAAACAACACTTTGGGAGGCTGAGGCCGGTGGGTGATCTGAGATAGGGAGATGGAGACCAGTTTGGCCAATATGGTGAAACCCTGTCTCTACTAAAAATACAAAAAATTAGCCAGGCATGGTGGCAGGCACCTGTAATCCCAGCTACTTGGGAGGCTGAGGCAGGAGAATCATCTGAACCCAGGAGGCAGAGGTTGCAGTGAGCCAAGATGACCCCCTAGCACTACAGCCTGGGCACAACAGCAAGACTCAGTCTCAAAAAAAAAAAAAAAAAAAAAAGAATGGGAAGGCTCTTTAAGGCACTGATATAGAAAGAGCTCCAAAATATATATTGTTAAGTGAAAAAAGCAAGGTTCAGAACCATGTGTATAACATACTGCCATTTGTTTTGTTTTGTTTCTTAAGATAAAAAGAATATGTATAGGTATGGTGTTTGTTGAGGCTTATACTTGCATGAAATGTCTCCAGAAGCAGCATCTAGAAAGTTAATGTGAACTCAGGCCGGGCGCGGTAACTCAAGCATGTAATCCCAGCACTTTGGGAGGCCGAGGTGGGTGGATCATCTGAGGTCAGGAGTTCGAGACCAGCCTGATCAACATGGAGAAACCCTGTCTCTACTAAAAATACAAAATTAGCTAGGCATGGTGGCATATGCCTGTAATCTCAGCTACTCAGGAGGCTGAGACAGGAGAATCATTTGAACCCAGGAGGTCAAGGTTGCAGTGAGCCAAGATCGCACCACTGCACTCCTACCTGGGCAACAAGAATGAAACTCCATCTTAAAAATAAAATAAAATTTAGTGTGAATTCAAATGACCAGGGGATTTTTTAAAAGGCAGATGCCTGATGCTGGGGTCCAAGATTCTATATTTCTAACTCCTAGGACATGATAAAGCTTCTGATCCAGACTCTATTTTGAGGAGGAAAACTTAGATGCACACATACATGTATGTACACACACATGCACATGCAAAATAGTTAATGTCAGGCTGGCGCGGTGGTTCACGCCTGTAATCCCAACACTTTGGGAAGCCAAAGCAGGCGGATCACCTGAGGTCAGGAGTTTGAGACCAGCCCGGGCCAACATGGTAAAACCTGTCTCTACTAAAAATACAAAAGTTAGTTGGGCATGGCGTCAGGTGCCTGTAATGCCAGCTACTCCGAAGGCTGAGGCACGAGAATCGCTTGAACCCAGTAGGCAGAGGTTGCAGTGAGCCGAGATGGCGCCACTGCACTCCAGCCTGAGCAACACAGCGAGACTCTGTCTCAAAAAAAAAAAAAAAAAAAAGTTAATGTCCCCTAAAACAGAGGACCTATGTGACTGGTGGACAGAGATAGGAGGAAACTTTACAATATTCCTTTTTATACCTTTGAATTTTGAATATCTGACGTACTGTTTTGTGAAATGAAAACTGACACTAAAATATGAGAGCCTGTGCACATTCCCTGACCCCAGGGTATAGGGCAGAGCACCACCTCTTCCCAGTCCTCACCCCAGAACCTACCCACCGCCTTTATCCAGTTGCTTAGGAGCTAGCTGTGTGGCTTTGGGCACGTCACTTAACCTCTCTAAACTGGCAGGAGAATGTCCTCTTCTCTACAACCTGGAAAGTAATGTACCAACTCCATAGGGTTTTAAGGATGAAAACAGATGATACAAACACAGTAGCATGGTGCCTAGCACACCCAGATACTCAATAACCAAGGTGGCACACAGGTAATAACATTAGTCGCCAGGCATGGTGGCTCAGACCTGTACTCCCAGCTACTTGGGAGGCTGAGGCAGAAGGATGATTTGAGCCCAGGAGTTTGAGACCAGCCTGGGTAACACAGTGAGATTCCTGTCTCAAAAAAAAAGGAGATAATGATGGTACCTGTTGCCATAATTTGGACTGGGCTGGGTTTTGGATGAGCCCAGGCCCTCTTTTAGGCCCTCATCCTTCCCTCCACTTCACTCACCACTACTTCTTCTTCAAAGACCTTTTCGCCTTCATTCACCTTCTGCAGCTCAATGTGTTCATACTCGTGTGATGGGTCCCCCATGAAGCGGCCCTTCACCACAGACGACTGCGCCACCATCTCCTCTGTGGCAGGGGGCAAGAGGCTCCACTCTGTGCAATTCAGGCTGCCAACAATATTCGCATCACCCCTGGATTCCAACTCCCTGCTCAACCCAGTCTTCCTACTATCTTCCCTTCTCTCTAGTGGGTTAGGCCCAGGAAAAGCTGTTGAAATTGTGATCTTTTCCCCCAATGCTGTAGTGAGACCTTTAGAAGCCCCAAGTGCCAACAGGATGTGGTGGCTCATGCCTGTAATCCCAGCACTTCGGGAGGTGCAGGCAGGCAGATCACTTAAGGTCAGGATTTCGAGACCAGCCTGGCCAACATGGTGAAACCCCATCTCTACTAAAAATACAAAAAATAGCGGGGCATGGTGGTACATGCCTGTAGTCCCAGCTACTCAGGAGGCTGAGGCAGGAGAATCAATTGAACCTGGGAGGTGGAAGTTGCAGTGAGCCAAGGACGCACCACTGCACTCCAGCCTGGGTGACTGTGCAAGACTTTGACTCAAAAACAAACAAACGAAAGCTCCAAGTGCCAATAGTGCACGCACCCTCATATGTATAAGCAGATTCAATTTCATTCATTCTATGTATGCTGAAATTAAGTGAGCCTCTTCCTAAATATCCAGACTGAAATTCCAGATGAGTTTCTGATAGCTAAACTTTCTTTGGTTATGGGGACCCATGTTTTGGTGGGCCCTAAATTCATGCTCAGCCTGCCCACTGAATCAACAGCACAACCATTTCCTCCCATTTCTCAGGAATGCCAGGCCTACGCTCAAGGACTTCTCATTTGAGGTCTTCAGGAGCACTCACCGGGCCCACCCGCTCCCTTCTTTCTCACTTCCTGCTGCTAGGAGAGGAGGTCCTTCTCATTCCTCTCAAATACACCCTGGGCCTGGGTCCCCAGCCTGGTCTCTGCTCATCCTTCTGCCCTTCACTCTCCACCAATTCCCCTCAATATAAAAACTGCTCAGCCTACTAAAACAGCAGCCCTCCAAATACCCGTCGTTCTAGAAAACGCTGTTCCTGTCCTTCCCTCCCTCTTCCCCAACTCTCAACAATAATCTCAGAACAACAATTGCCCTGTGAGTGCCTTTCTTCCCCCTCCTTTTCACTCGTCAGCCCACTGCCTCCACCACTTCAAGAAACTGCTTGGGAGAAGGCCATGACACCTAACGACCAACAAATGCATCTCCAGTTCTATTTCCTCTGACATCTCCCTTTCCCCTCCTCCAGGGCCTCAGGCATTTCCAGGGACCTATTCTCACCCCTCTTTTCTTTCTGCAGTCTTACCCACCTGCCTTCCAGAGCCCCAGCTACTGCCTAGTCAGTAGCCAGAATCCAACCACTTCCCATCACTTCCACTGCTCCCACCCTGGCCCAAGCCACCTACTACCTAGATACTGCCGTAGACTTTTAACTAGTCTCCCTGCCTCCACATCTATTTCCCCTTCAGACTAGTCCCCACCCAACTGTTCACACCTAAGCCAGATCATGTCACTCCTCTGTGGAACCTTCCAATGGCTTCCCATTAAGCCAAGTCTTGCAATGCCCCACAAGGCCCTGCATGATGGCTTCCCACCCCTACCTCTCTGACCTTGTGTCCTACAACACTCCCCTCACTCATTCCTCTCTAGCCACACTAGTCTCCATGGGGTTCCACAAACACACTAAGCACATACCTGCCTCAGGGCTCTGCACTTGCCTAGAATTCTCTTCCCTCAGATATTTACATAGCTTATGCTCTCAGTCACTTCAGGTGTCTTCTCAAATGTGACCTTATCAAAGAGGCTATCCCTGACCCACCTATTTAAAATAGTACCCCATCCTGTATTCTCTATCCCCCCTAGCTTTTAACATCATCTGACATGTAATAGATGTGTGTGTTTAGCTATTGTCTATCTCCCCTTCTCTGCCCCCTAAACACACACTATAATGTAAGCTCCATGAAGACAAGGACTTCATTTACCATTGAACTCCTGGTGTCTAAATCAATACCTGGCACATGGTAGTACATAGTAGGTGCTCAGCAAATGCTTATAGCATGAAATGAATCACAAATCTCTATCTTCAGTTCAACTTTTTCTTCTGTATTCCAAATGCCTTAACACCTTCTAACTCAGGCACCTCACACCAAATTCACTATGTCTTCCCTAGTCCTGCCCCTGAATTCTCTCCTGAGTGGTGCTAGTACTTACTTACTCAGCAGTCTGAGCTAGAAGGAGGACTCAGCCTTGACCTCTTCTTTACAACCATCCTCCTTCAATCAGTCACATATACTGACAATTCTAGCACTTAAATCTTTCCAACCCATCCCCTCCTCTGCATTCCCTCAGCTTCCTCTTCCTTTCAGGGTTCATTCATATAAACACAATGGACTCCTAACCACAGTGCTCACCACACTTTCAGGCCATTCTGTCCTCTGTGATCTGAGCAGACTCTTCTTGCAAGTCCCTCAGTAGTTCCCCATGACCTATGAACAAAGTTCCATATCCTTTTGCCTCACGAACCAGTTATACATAACATTGTACTCCTGTTCTCCCAAACACTCTGAGCCTTCCCCAGCCAACAAAAGTTTGTCTAACTGTTCCCTCTAACTGGCATGCCTTGCCCCAAAACCTGCCTGTGGTATACCTACTCATCTTTCAATCTTTCAGAACTCAGTGCAAGTTACTCCTTTAGTTATTTAAGTTTTTCTCTAGAATGCCCACCTTGGTGTCCCTTTGTGTACATCTCTAATTTTAACACATCGTGCTGGAATTGCTGATTGACTCATCAGTTTTCCTCCCTAGGACGTGAATAACTCGGAGACAGATGTGCAGTGCCATCTTAGCAACCAAGTTTAGCACAGGGTGCACCCAATCAATGTTGGATTGATACATGGATAGATGAATAAAGTCTCCAACTACCTGCAGCCTAAGTGAACTGCTTTATTTTATTTCTTTATTTTTTGAGATGGAGTTTCACTCTTGTTGCCCAGGCTGGAGTGCAATGGCAAAATCTCGGCTCACTGCAGCTTCCACCTCCCGAGTTCAAGAGATTCTCCTGCCTCAGCCTTCCAAGTAGCTGGGATTGCAGTTGTCTGCAATCCCATGCCCAGCTAATTTTCTGTATTTTTAGTAGAAACAGGTTTCACCATGTTAGCTGACTAACATGGTCTCAAACTCCTGACCTTAGGTGATCTGCCCACCTCAGCCTATTAAAGTGCTGGGATTACAGGTATGAGTCAATGTGCTGACATTTTAATTTTTGAAGTCTATTTATTTATTTATTTTGATACACTAGATTGTCACTCTGTTGCCCAGGCTGGAGTGTAGTGGCTCAATCTCGGCTCACTGTAAACTCCACCTCCTGGGTTCAAGCAATTCTCCTGCCTCAGCCTCGAGAGTAGCTGGGACCACAGGCGCCGCCACCATGCCTGGCTAATTTTTGTATTTTTAATAGAGATGGGGTTTCACTGTGTTAGCCAGGATGGTCTCGATCTCCTGACCTTGTGATCCGCGCCCCGCTCAGCCCCTCAACGTGCTTGGGATTACAGGCGTGAGCCACCAAGCCTTTTTTTTTTTTTTTTTTTTAATAGTGATGAGGTCTTGTTATATGGCCCAGGCTGGCCGAATGGACTGCTTTATAAGGTAGTAAGTTCCTCTATAGTCAAAAAGAGGCTGGCCGGGCGTGGTGGCTCACTTCTGTAATCCCAGCACTTTGGGAGGCTGAAGCAAGTGGATTACTTGAGGCCAGGAGTTTGAGACCAGCCGGCGCAGCATGGTGAAACCCTGTCTCTACTAAGAATACAAAAATTAAAATAAATAAATAAATAATTAGCCCGGCGCGTTGGCTTACGCCTGTAATCCCAGCACTTTGGGAGGCCGAGGCGGGCGGATGATGAGGTCAGGAGTTCGAGACCAGCCTGGCCAACATTGTGAAACCCCCGTCTCTACTAAAGATACAAAAAATTAGCCGGATGTGGTGGCGCGCGTCTGTAATCCCAGCTACTCAGGAGGCTGAGGCAGGAGATTCGCTTGAGCCCGGGAGGTTACAGTGAACCAAGATTGCGCCACTGCACTCCAGCCTGGTGACAGAGAAAGACTCTGAAGAAAAGAAGAAAAGGAGGGGAGGAGAGGGGGGAGGAAAGAGGAGGGGAGGGGAGGGTGAGGCTGGATGGTCTTGTATGGTAGCGACCAGGAAATTTTCCCCAGCTCCCTCCCCATTCCGCATTCGTTCTTTACTTCCAAAAGTGCCTCCGGCTGCAGAGCAGACACCTCCATCAAAGAGCACCACCCACTCCTCCGGGCGTCTGACCCTTCTCCAAACCGAGCCAGGCCCAACACTTGGCTGGCACCTGTCTTCTTCTCCAGGTCCGCATTTGCCAGAAACCTTCCCACTACTTCACCTGCGTTCTTGACCTACCTCTCTTGTGTAAACCATCCGCATCCAAGTTTCTCTTGGCCTCTTCAGGCGGAAAACAGGTCTTCGCAGGGCCCCGCCCTCCGGGACCTCGCGCGTCCATGGCCGCGCCCCCTCAGGCTCCTCCCCTGCCTCAGATTCCGAGACATCCCAATCCCCGCCCTTTTCCTCAACCACCCCTCGACCGTCCCCAGGCCCACCCCTCTGGCCCTGCCCCATTCCACTCACCTCAGCTCCCGCCCACGTCTCCCTTGGCCCTATGGGCCCCGCCCCTTTCGATTGCTACGACCCGCCCACTCCTCCGTTTCTCCAGGTAGCCACTCTCTGGGGTCCGGCGGCGGCCCCGCACCGAGGGCCTCCTCACCTGTAGAGCGTCTTGCGCGGTGCGAGCTGGTCCTCATTCAGGCCCTGCGCGATGTAGTAATCGGCAACGAGGCCGAGAATGCGGCCCCAGAAGAGAACCCGATCGTAGCGGTAGTCGCGCTTAACCAGCATAAGAGACGTGAGCAGCGAGGCCCGACGGTCCGGGCTGAGGCCCTGCCCACTGCCGGACGCCAGCTCCAGCGACAGCAGGAGGCTCTCGGCGTCCATCAGGCTTGCGGCGCTGCTCAACGCCCGTCTGGTTGCTAGGAGAAGCCGTCTCCATGGAGACCTGAAGCTCCGCCCTTCCGCCTAGCAGGACGCTAGGTTCCACCCACCCTACCGCCTACCGCCCAGCCCTCCTCCCCACGGAGCCCTAACGTCAGGCCTGGACAAATATCAGCCCCCTCCCTTTTCCTTTCCGGAGTTTGAGACGGGATGTGTTCAGTTGTCACGGCCACAGCATGGCTTCCCCTACTGCAGTTAGGCCACAATGTGGGGTTGGAGGTCCCAACCCAGCCTTTTTCAATGGCCCTCCCTGAGCCCTTTCACATAGTTGACATTTAGAGTCTTTACCATATATGCACCTGGGGTCTGGAAAGAAAACAATACAAACCCCCTACACTGACACTAACTGTACTATTTCACCCCTGTCATGTCACTTCTTGACCTCAGAAAGATCTGTGAAAAGAATTTGAGATTCCTCCTGGCTCTAATTAAGATTCTGACAACCCCACTGCCTCCACCCCCACCCCATCCCAAGCCAGGTCTTATAGAATGAGGTCCATCCACTCTCTTCCACCTTCACCAGCTGCTTTTTTATCTACCCTATTCTAAAGCACAAATGAAGATCTAGGCAATGGGGCAAGGCATAGGGTAACACCTTCCGAAAGGAGGGTGAGGAGAGGACAAACATAAACAGGTTCCTCAGCAAGCTTGTTGCCACTGAAGGAGATGGGCTTTACTGTTAATGTTGCTAATTAATATTTTCATTTCTAGATTCCTTTGAAGAGCACTCATGAAATCAGAATGACCCAGGCCCCAGTAGATAAATAAGTGTCTAAATTACCCAGATACTTTAATTATCTGGGCATTGTTGGTTTTGGGGGATTGTCTTGACAGGATCACACTTTGTCACCCAGGCTGGAATGTAGTGGTGTGTGATCTCGGCTCACTGCAGCCTAGACTTCCTGGGCTCAAGTGATCTTCCCACCTCAGCCCCCCAGGTAGCTGGGACTAAAGGTGTGTGCCACCACGCCCATCTTTTTTTTTTTTTTTTGTATTTTTAGTAGAGATAGGATTTCACCATGTTAGCCAGAGTGGTGTTGAACTCCTAAGCTCAAGTGATCTGCCCACCTCAGACTCCCAAAGTTCTGGGAGGCAAATCTTGGCTAAATATTTCAGAGTAAAACCACACAGGATGTGCAGTGGTGTAGACAAATCCAAGTTTCACCACTTAGGCAAGGTACTCAATCTCCTCTAGCCTCATGGGAAGATCACTTGAGCCCAGGAGGTCGAGGCTGCAGTGAGCCGAGATCACACACCACTACACTCCAGCCTGGGTGACAAAGTGAGACCCTGTCAAGATTATAGGCATGAGCCACCATGCCCAGCCTTAGGCATTGTTTATAAAGGCTTTTAAAGTTAGTATTTGGCCACAGGTGGTGGCTCACACCTATAATCCCAGCCCTTTGGGAAGCTGAGATGGGTGATGACCTGAGGTCTAGAGTTTGAGACCAGCCTGGCCAACATGTCGAAACCCCGTCTCTACTAAAAATAAAAAAAGTAGCCAGGCATGGTGGCACAGGCCTGTAATGCCAGCTACTTGGGAGGATAAGGCAGGAGAATTGCTTGAACCTGGGAGGCAGAGATTGCAGTGAGCCAAGATCATACTATTGCACTGCAGCCTGGGCAACAGTGAGACTCCGTCTCAAAAATACAAGTAAATAAATAAAATTAGGATTTAGGGAGTTGTTTGGCTTAATGTGTTATCTCAAAACAATTTACAACTCCTTTGTTCAGGACCACCCGCACTCCCTTTAGGCAGACCCCTCAGCCTTTCCTTTCCCTGAGTGGGAGACAAGGCCCAATCTCTCCTCTATAATAGCATTAAACAGAAAAACAGCCAAAATTCTGGCTGGCAGAATCTCTCTCGAGTAGTCACAGCACAGAAAAGAGCCCAGGTGTTTTGCTTTCATTGATTCCATATTTACTCAGCACCTATTGCAGGATCCATGGCAGACGCAAGAATCTAAAGCCAGAAAGAAATCCTGAAGCTTTTTGATGCTAATGCCTTTGGCAAGGCAAATCCTGGCTAAATATTTCAGAGTAAAATCACATTGGATGTGCGGTAGTGTAGATGAGTCCAAATTTTACCACTTAGGCAAGCTGCTCAATCTCCCCTCACCTCATGTATAAAATGAGGACAATAATTCATGCACTGCAAAGTTGTCAGCGTTAGATAATGTATGTAAGTGCTTAAAACACAGTATGTATACTAAAAAATAGTATATTTTATGTGTACATACATGTATCTTATACTATGTATATACGTGTGTATATATACTTTTTTTTTTTTGAGATGGAGTCTCACTCAGTCGCCCATGTTGGAGTGCAGTTCTTGGCTCACTGCAACCTCTGCCTCCCAGCTTCAAGCAATTCTCCTGCCTCAGCCTCCCGAGTAGCTGGGATTACAGGCACCCACCACCATGCCTGGCTAATTTTTTTTGTATTTTTTGTAGACACAGAGTTTCACTATGTTGGCCAGGCTGGTCTCCAACTCCTGACCTCAGGTGATCTGCCCGCCTCGGCCTCCCAAAATGCCAGGATTACAGGCATGAGTCACCTGCCTGGCCGATATATACCATTCTTATATCATACATACGCATGCATACACCTATCCCCAACACCAGCAAGGTGAGGATTCTGTCTTCAACTTGCTTCCAAAAACAGATGTTTGGCCGAGCATGGTGGTTCTTCCCGGCTCACTAATCAGCACACCTGCTCAGAGTTTACTACAAATGAAGCACAGGGCCAGACTATTTCTTGAAATCACTGTTCTCATTCAGTGGCCTGGTAAGCTAAGTTCCTTACCAGAATCTTTCCAAATAAAGGTGGCCTCTACTTTGGAGGATACAGAATTTAAGCATCACAAAAACCTGTATGTGGTAAGAAAAGCACGTTGGCTAAAAGATAGCTAATGAGGATTCTAGTCCTAACTCCATCAAACTACATATGCACTTGGCCAAGTCACTTAACTTCCTAGACTAGCCTGGGGCTGAAGAAGAAGAAAAAAAAACCTTAGTAAAAAAAATCCTAAGGCTGGGCACAGTGGCTCACACCTGTAATCCCAGCACTTTGGGAGGCCAAGTCAGGTGGATCACTTGAGGTTAGGAGTTTGAGACCAACCAGCCAAGATGGTGAAACCCTATCTCTACTAAAAATACAAAAATTAGCTAAGTGTGGTGGTAGGCACCTGCAGTCCCAGCTACTCAGGAGGCTAAGGAAGGAGAATCACTTGAACCCAGGAGGCAGAGGTTGCAATGAGCCAAGATTGTGCTACTGCACTCCAGCAAGACTCCATCTCAAAAAAACAAAACAAAAAATTCTAGAAGCACTGAAGCAGAAGAGGCCAAGGAGAAAGACAAAATAGCCTCAAGCCTGACAAGGTTTTTTTTGAGACAGAGTCTCCCTGTCACCAGGCTGGAATGCAGTGGCATGATCTCAGCTTACTGCAACCTCCACCTCCTGTGTTCAAGCGATTCTCCTGCCTCAGCCTCCCAAGTAGCTGAGACTATAGGCGTGCACCACCATGCCCAGCTAATTTTTGTATTTTTAGTAGAGACAGGGTTTCACTCTGTTGGACAGCATGGTCCCGATCTCTTGACTTTGTGATCTGCCACCTTGGCCTCCCAAAGTACTGGGATTACAGGCATGAGCCACCACACCCAGCCTTTTTTTTTTTTT